AAAATCTCGATCTGACTGAGCAGTTTACCGATGCAGATTTATGGCAAGTTCTACAAGATGTGCAACTGAAAGAATCAGTGAAAAGTCTTCACGGGCAACTTGATCATGAACTGTTGGAAAATGGTGCAAATATCAGTGTTGGAGAACGACAGCTGATCTGTTTGGCTCGTGTGCTGTTGCAGCGAAACAAGATCATCTTCTTGGATGAGCCCACTGCAAACGTAGATCCAGAAACAGAGAAAACAATCTTGGGCGTAGTGCGTGAAAAACTGAGAGACTCTACGGTCATCACTATAGCTCATCGATTGAACACCATCAAAGACTGTGATAAAATTTTACTTTTGAAACATGGAACGGTAGCAGAGTTCGAGAAATTTGACACTTTGGTGAACACAGAGGAATATGAGTTGGATGAAATGGCGCGAATTGTAAGTTCCAAAACAACGTAACTTCAAATCGCCTATGAACTTTTTCTCAGCCGCATTCTGTAATTCCTTTGTTAGCTATCTTTTGTAAACACACTTTGTTCACTATACACCAAACTTTATTTATTACGGGGAAGACCTTTAGCTGGTTTTTATATTTTAATTACTTGTGGCTCGTGCTACTTCATCATAAGTTCTCCTAACTGTTATTTACATTTGTATCAAGAGGATCGCTGTTTAAGTATACTTGTCGACTAGTATCCTCATGGGGACTCATAATTTTTTCTTTGTTCCACGCTCGTGACAAGTCGAAACACATCTTTCTCTATTTCTTTACCGAGCTTAAAACTTACCATCTTTCTTATTCTATTTACAAACATGAAGCTAACGACATCGCTGATCCTAGCAGTATGCAGGAAGCGTGTCATTTATGAACTTCGTAATGGGCCTCGCTCACCATAGAGTCTATGCGACTCAGTGTTACAGCATCGGAGTGTGGAATACGAAGGTCTGTGGTTCGATTCCTAATTGGGACTCAGAATTTTTTCTTTGTCCCACGCTGGTGACAAGTCGAAAAACATCTTTCTCCACTTGTCGACTAGTATCAAGCAGCTGTGTAGTAGCAGCTGAAATATTCCTTTAGAAATTTTCTTGTCCTCATTGAATTATTTTCCATATCGTTTTTTATGGGCATTAAAAATATAGGGCTTTCTGTAGTTTACGATAACGATCTCGACCTAGAATTTCGTCAGAATAAACTACTTGGAGAATCAAGTACAGTTTTGGTGTGACTGACAATCATTTTTGAAAGTAGATTACGGCCGAAAAGTAAGTTCTTGGGAATATTGGAGCTTGTGTTACACAGGTCATGACGACATGCCAGGAGAATAGAGAATTATATAACTGTAATCTTGGCACGACATGGCAAAGATAATGTTTGTTCTACCTGCTAATGAATCATGTTATGTGTAGGAGTGCAAAAAGTGCGAAGAATTAATCCTTAGGAGGCAAATCTTAGGGTAAAACAACACATCTTCGACAAAGCGCGATCTTTTTCAAATGAATAGAGTAAATCCTGCGATAGTTAACTGAAGAGAGAAAAAAGTTGAAACTTGCGCTCGCCGTTCGCTATCATTTGAAAACTTTCTAGGCAAAACAAAATCCGTAACATAACTTTCTCTCTCAACACCACGACTGTATTAATCATTTCAAACGATAGGACAAGAAACTGGAGTTGAAGAATACGAACACTATAAAATGTTATTCGAGCGATGAACCGGCCCGAGGGTTTTTAATTGTTAAAGTCAATGTTCAACCGAAACGTGATCATTTGAATTAAAAACGGAAGCTAGTATCAAACGACGATTGTTAAGAAAAAGGTTTGAATCTTCCTGGGCCTTAGCGTACGAGAAAACCCAGATAAGACACGACTTACCTCCTCTTCTTTCTCGGATCCTTTGTAGTTCGCTTCTCTTTTCAGTCTGTTTTCAGGAGAGACTTTGTATTTCCTTCTCGTTTTGCTCTTCGCTAAATATTCGCCTTTCTACTTATGCCTTTCCTTGTTCTCTTTCGCGTTCCTCTCGCTGTATTCTGCCTATTTTGGCGTCCTTTCTAACTTTCTTGTTCGATTTTCTCGCCTCGCCTTACGCCGTTTAATTGTTGCTTTCTTTGGTCGCTCTGTCTCTTTCCATTCAGCCTATTTTCACACAAAACCCTCTCTCCACTAACTTGAATTATAACATGCGTACTAAAAGTAGCACCCCGTACGGACGCCTGTACGGTCGCAATTCCAAATTTTTTCGGCTTGATAGGTTACTACTATTCGTATAAAAATGGAGCTACGCTGCGCACGCTGCGAGCTCCGCTATTATTCGCTATTTATATATGACGACGTATCATTTGTATGGGGTCACCTTGAGTGACAGTCAAAAGAGAAATTATCAAGACGCTTCAACAGAGATATCCTATTACTCTACGCCTATCAAACAATGAGATACGTAGCAACGATGAATTAATGCGCACGGAAACGCAGACCAAAAAGATACAGAGAGCAGTGTCAACTGGTGTTGTTGATATCAAGATAAGCAAGTCGCACAGAGTATTTACGTCATGTTGTGTAAGACGTGGCCCACTGTTTAGCAGTCTTATCTAGCTCCAAGATTATCGTCCAATGTCGGCGCTAGAGTTCTTCCTGGTTTTGCAACAGTTGATACTGGAACTATCAAGTTTCAGGAAAAGGTCGATAGGAGCAGAGAATTAATCATACGAGACGCTGTAAATGATAATACCCGACGGTTACAAAAAAACACCAAGAACCTGATTTCACTATTTATCTGAATAATGAATTAATTCCGATAAGTATATATTATTCGATTAATAAAATGAAACCTAACCAGTTTGCTATGAAGCTTTTTAACATTGGAACACAGAATTATACAGATCATGTTATTGTGTCTAATGATGGCGATTTTGGATGGGATTCATTTCATGAAGTTTAAACCGTTAAACATAGCATGATGAAACTTATATAATCCCCTATAATGACGGTCTGAAAACAGATAAATCAAGCGCTTCAACTTTACTTGATGGGTCTGTTAAGTCAGATCGAATTTTGAAAAGATTCGAAAATACCGAAAACAAATGGATTGACACTGGCATTTCGTTTATCACATATTTCAACGTTGATGAATCAGTAAGAATCAGAACGTCACCATCAGTTAAAAACTCCACTGGCAGAGAGTGGTATGGGTCTACTTTCAACTACGATGTAGACAAGAAGCGAGGATGATGCGGCTAGTGCGTTTAATTGATCTAATGGCAGGCGAAATTTAGTTTGTTGGTTATTGCTTTCATATATTTACCTCATGTTAAATTTTCGTCAAGTGACCATGAAACGACGTATTTTGCCTTAATAGAAGATTACATTTGTATCCCTTGGCTAGGCATGATTTATTACTAAAATTTTGGCTGAAACATTGTAAAATGATCAATAAATGATCACTAATTATTCTCTTTTGAAGTCATCTCTGTTCAAACCGATATACATTCCTTAAAAAGCATGGACTGTGTGCAGAACGCCAAGCCGCGGCCTGATAGATAATTATCCACCGAATGTACTTGTTCGGGTTAATATTTCAAATACCTTACTTAAAAAAAGTATTAAAATTCGCGCAGTACTAGAATTCGCGCAGTGCTGGGTGCTCCAATTTTGGTATTGCGCGAATTATAATCTGCGCGAAAAACTTTGTGGTGTAATATTATAAATGCACATACATATACATACGTATATTTTTTAGTTCTTGTTGGTATTTTGAACTCACGCTTATTGTTATCATGAATTTTGCATAAATTTCATAATTTTGAAGGCACTTTTTGAGGGCCACCTAATCGCTATTTTATTAGGTTTCGACAAATATTGTAGTAATCGCTGATAAAAAATATTCATTATAAATGCGTTAATCGTTAATAGCTCCTAAACAAACCAAAAAGAACGAACACGAAAATTACTAGCGCGAATTTAAAGCTGCGTGAATAAGTCTTAACAAGATGCGCAAAATTAAATCGCGCGAATTTAAAGCTGAGCGAAAATGAGCACGACGCGAATTTTAGTACAAGTAAGGTACACAAGATTTTGTATCCACTCCGTTCGAAAACGTCAACTGCAAAGGATATGTGTTAACTTAGATCACAGGCTTTAGATAAGTACGTCAATTAGGTATCCTTCAACAAGTTTTAAGGACATTGAAAATTAATGATATTAAAATGGCTTCGGGGATTTCGAGACCGTTTCGCAGTGATTTTTATCAAATTATAAACTCTTTCCTTCAATATCTGGTTAGGCTCGCTTTTTTCTGAGTAATAACGAGGAGTTCTTCCTTTTGTGGTTTGAAATAATGATCTCTTAAGGGTGCAAGCCCTCAGGAACTTAACAACGTTGACGCTCAAGGACTACTCATTCCAGGATCGTCGGGGAATACGAATATATTGATCCAAAGATTTTCTAGACCTTTCTGCTTCAACCAGAAAAACAACTATTCAACCAACTTTTAGTTGAAATTAAATTCTATTTGGTGGTATTGAACAGCAAAAGGTGTAAAACACAGTGACGGTTTTTATTGAAACTTTTGTGATGGCTCCCCTTAAACCTACAGTCACATTGACAGAAATAAATATTTTTGATAGCCCCCCTTAAAACTGACCGGATAAACTCATGCCCCTAGTCCTCCCCAAGAAAAAATCGCCATAGGCCCCATTTACATAAATGGTGAAACCTCTGTTATATACCTCTTGCCTGAAAAATGGAACTCTTTTGAGAGGAGTATCTCCATAAAAGATATGATGATGGTACACGAGCCCAAGGGAATGCGATCAAAAAAAGTCAGAAAAGAGGAAAATGGGAATATAAAAATGGAACAAAAACTAAATACTGAAAGAAGGTATGTCTTTCAAACCAAAATATAGGGGAAAAAGTTGAATATGCTCCAGTTCTTATTACTACTTTTTCTTTACTTTCTTAGCGTTTACGCCCAAAAGGCTAAAGATGCATTTTATGGCTGTGAGAAAGTCGAGAAAACATTTTGGCTTTGTAGTTTATTCATGTTTTACAAACGGTTAATTTACAGCAGCTAAAATAGATGGAAAGTTCACAACTTGCTATGTAAAAGGGGTACCATTTGTCAGTACAAGGTATACAAAAGGGGTACCTTTTCTCTCAAAAATGGTATACATATATGGTATTGGACCTTGGGACGGAGCTTAACCATAGAGAGGCAAACAAATATGGAGTTACTCCACTCCATGAGCTTGATCATAATGAAAACCAAAATATCAAGAACACGCACATTCCTCACACTATTCTCCCTATTTTTTCCTTTGCTATTATGATTTTCAGCAAGAGGAAATTATGGGAGAGAGAAAGAGGGAAATGCCCAGTCTAGTCCTTGGTATATGTGAATTTCACCAAAGTTAATTTTAGACCAATTGAACGTGTAACCCAATGTAGACACCCTTCTCAGGACAGGGTCTACAGAAGCTAAAATAACCTCCCTTAAGTGGATATTGAAATAAATCAGTACTAAAATCCATTCCGAAAATGTCTTTAAATTTGCACAAAAATGACTAGAGAGGAGAAGTGTGACATCATATTACCATGGTAAAAAAATTTCTGAATCACAACAATAGCGATTTTAAGCAACGACGATGGCGACGAGAACAGTTTAAAAGCAATAAGTTTATATTAGAACAACAACAACTTTGCATATGCATCACCCCTTAGCTGTTGTTGCAGAAATACAACATGATTATTTCATTTGCAAATTGTCTTTTTGAGTGAATTTTCGGTATGTTGTCATCCAGAAATTTTGCTACCATGGAAAAGTGACATAACGACTTCTCTCTATTGTAATAATTATAATTAGTAAATCGCACAGTTTAATGACCATGCCTTGCAATGAGGGTGCCTGCTTTGGGGAGGTGAGGTAGCAGATTCTTTTAATGACACCCTTTTAGCTTGTTTTATTTCATGAACTTGAGCACTGATTTAATAAGGAGAAATAATATGTGGGTCACTGATGATAAACTGCAAGACAGGAGTTTAAAGAGGAAGGAAAGGGATGGGGCTAAGCAAGGAACATGAGTACTGGCACATGCATGCCCATCACATGCATGCCCATCACATTCTCGCCCTATCTTTCCCTCTCCATTCCTCTCAAATACCTGCCTCGTAGGGTAGGTCAATTAATAAGAGAAAGGTTAGAAGTCCTTCATCTGTAATTCAAACACATCAAATTTAGTGGAAAAAGTCAGAAACTCTTTTTCTCATGTTTCAAATTTTCACTACTGCCTAACAATCTTTTAGTATTCTTACTATTGTCTCTTTACTTGACATCTATAAAAAACATTTACCATTTCATCACAACTCTTTCAAGTCTGCTCTAACTTTGTGGGGACTAACTAAAGGGAGTTGAGATAGTACTTATATTGTAGGTTAATTTTTGTGCATAATTGATTACAGCATAGAGTGATCTTACTTAACCTGTGAAACAGATACTAACATCTACTGAAAAACAGCCACTTGCAAACAAAGGAAGACAAAGTAATTAGTGCATAATAGTGCACCTAGTATTCTACTACCTATTTCAAGGGTTAAGTAAAATCACTCTGACTAGTTTCTTTCAGTGTATAAATAAATTTTCAGCCTTAGTGCAGTTTTCTCTGAAAAAAAATTGTTATTTAAACAGCCCACTGCCTAGTGGAAGAGCATTTTAAAATAAAACTTGGAAATAACATTGTCAAAAGATATTAAGATTGTTTAAGGACAACTTTTAAAATTTCTTTGCAAAGTTGATCTTCAGGATCAGCCATGTTTTCAATTAAATTAAAATGATCTACTCCAGAAAGCCATAAAAAGGAACTTTGTACACCATGTGACTTCAAGATCTCATCAAATTCTTTTGACTGCCGAATGAACTCTGGAGATCCATGCTCTTCAACTACAACCAGTGTAGGACAGCAGATTGTGGGAGATACTTCCTTAAGAATTGTCAGGGGGCTAATTTTTGCAGCGGAATCTGCATCCAATTTTAATGCATCATTATTGCTAGTGTTAACCAAGGGAACCAAGTCAAAAATCCCAGAGAGTAAAAACATGCCATGAACAGCTTGTGAAACTAACCCACCCTTGTTCCAATTTGCAAGTGCCATCATGGCAGATAAGTGTGCACCAGCAGAATGTCCACATAAAAACAGTTTTGATTTAGGAAACTTAACAACAATGTGCTCTAGTGCAGCTTGGATTTCAGTGATGATCTGTTCCACACTGGCCTCTGGTGCAAGATTATAACCCAAAACTACTGCAATACATCCAGCTTTTGTCCATGAATTACTGACAAAACTGTACAAATCTTTACTGCCTTGCTGCCAGTAACCACCATGAATAAACACAATGACTGGAGCACTATCATGGTCATTCAGTGGGGGATAAAATACATCCATCTTGGCTTTACCTTCCCCATAAGGCACATTCAGTTCAACATTCAAACTTTGTTTTGTTTCTTCACTGCATTCACTGCAAACTTTCAAATAATGCTGAACTACTTTGTCTGCTCCCATGCGCTTATTCCACCGGCTAGGTGAGTAATACTTCTCAAGCCACTCCCTCGACTTATTACCCTCCATTTCTTTTGTTAACTGTTCTTCACACTTAAGTGTCCTCTTACCTAGCAGCTCTCCTCAAAGCTTTCCCTTTATGTAATCTATATGAAAGAACAAGAAATAAACAATAGAACTCCACTAACCCATCAATACTCACATACAGCACTAGGTTAGGAAAATTTAATTATTGCAAAGTATACAGACCTACTTGACTTGAAGGATCTGGTTGCATTTAAAGTGGTTTTATCTATTTATTAATTAATTTTTACTTTTGCTATTAAATATATTCCAAACTATATCAACTTTTTACTTATTGACAAAATCACTGCTTCAAATCACTACAAACTGTTTGGCTTTTATAACCAGCAATTATTACAGCAAGTGGGAAATTACCTTTAACTGCGTGACTTGGAAAACTTGGAAAAAAACCAGCGATATTACTAGCCTGAAAAAGGATTCTAGAACGTCGATTTCACTCTAAGGGTGATGACCTAGAAACAAAGACGCAGAAAGAAGTCACACAATCGATGTTTCTTGAAACCACACACGCACAAAAGATCACATTACAGCACAAATGATCCGCAGGTTCCGAATTTGGCGTGTCAAATTGCGAGTGCTCACCTACCCTGAATGATCAACTTAAGAATATTATAATCCTGCGACGAACTAACCTGTTTTTCTCTGTTTTGTTTATCAAAGATATTTCCACTTTAGAAGAGGAGTGAAGAAGAAAGCAGTAAAAGTACCAAGGGGCTGAACAAGCGGTTACCAAGCAGTGTTACCCAGGCCGTTTCTCCCCGCGGATAAAACGGGAGGACTGAACAACAACAACAACAATAAATAATTACATCAATATCAACAGCCCAATAACTTTATTTATCCTCGGTTTCTCAGCCCGGACTTAAAAGCAAGATTACATACGTAAAAAGTAAGACAAATAGATATATAAAAACTGGAACCCCGGTTCGACTGAATATTCAATTTGCCATATTAAAAATATTAATAGACCTGTCCCTATCAAGGTCTTGGAAGCCAGCGGAAAGGAAAAACTACAGTCTTTGCAAGTACGAGGGTCAGTATACTGACTGAAACTGGACCTCTAAAATAAGCTAAGGAACTGCCTTCATCGACTATACTTACTGACTGTTTATTTGTTGACAAACAGAAAAAAAAGAATTATGCAACGCAAGAAATCTTTCTAGATGTTCACATTTAATACATCTTTGCCACTGTAAAAAATAGCCTGGATGGCTGCTAGCAGGCGTTTGAAGGGAAAGGAAGAAATTGGGCACCCGAGAGAGGAAGGAGAAAGGGTGTCTCTCATGTGCCTAGCGCGTTCTTGCGTGCTCGATTTCTCCCCTACCGTCAAGGCTACTTGAGAACACTCGCCACGTTTACTTTGTTATGCAAGTTAAATCAGTTTATCATAATTATATAATATATAATTGTCCAGCGGCTTAAAATCGAGAAGAAACATTACTCAGTAGAAGCAAATACACTGCTAAATTATGCAAACTATTTCCCTGAGAGCAAGTTCTCCTAGAATCGCAAGCAAAGTAGATTCAAACCCGAGGCGCAAATGTTCTGTGAGTTTCTTGCGCGTGTGCATGCCCAGTGTTTGCTCACGGTCTAATGCAAAAACTACTTTCTTTTCTTAATCTTTATTATTAAACATGGTCCCTGGATCTCAGATACATGCCTCTGACTGTGGTCAGTTGACTTGCTTCTGTTTTGATCCACCATAAAGCGCATTGTTTCCGATATCGAAAGCTTTGTTTGCCTGTTCCCTGCAGCCCTCGCCACATTTTCCTGGGATTTTAATTGCTATGTTCACTTGATGATGGCTTTCCTCCCTGGTTTCCCTGATTTTAGCCTTTTGATAATTCAGTCCTATCAAAGGGGCGTCTCCTAATCCCAAGTTAACTCCAAAGTTCTCCGATTTACTCTCTCGGATTGTAGACTCCACCTTGACGTCTTGCGCCACAGTTATTACTAAGCCTTGGTTAGTACTGCCGCTCACTTGTGACTGTGCTTGAGGATTGTAGTACACTTGCTTTGTTTCGGGATCGAACAACGCTTGTACAAGTTCACAAGACGCCAGAGGGACCATGACTTGAAGCACAAACAGAATGAAAAGCATGTTAAATATCCAGTACTTGAGCTCAGCAGACAAATTAATAGCCGCCATTCTACTAAGCCAAACTACTGATTTCTTAGAATAGATGCAAACTACGTCATACATAGGGGGTTTTCCCGTTACTGTTATGGCTTCCGGTTGAACTCTAATAAATCTTTTAAACTTCATTCACTTTTCCTTTTTAAAACGCTGTTTATTGTAAGTAAGACGGACAAGAAATGATCGATCATAATAACATAATGGCTCTCTCAACTTCTGTGAGCTGCTTTGTTTACTGAAAGACGACCCAGAACTTGTCAGGGACTTTCGGCTGTCTTGGCTGCCGAAGCGAGGGATCGAAATGCAGGGAATCGTTTTCTTAGAAAATTAAGACAAAGAGATTCAATGATCGCGTGACTATGCTGGCGCCACATCAAGATGCTTGCTTTTCATACGGCATGAGCTGTTCTTAGAAATTTAGCAATATCTGGTGTCTAGCTTACATATTATCCTACTCAATCAGGGGTTTTTCCCTTTATTCGAATGAATGAGTCGGCTTCCGGCTCCCAGATCAAGCTTACAGGCGTTGTCCTGTTCAGGGTTAAAACTATAGCCAAAATATTTAAGGGATAAGGGGTGACGTGCAAAATGATTGATAGGATAAGGGATGATTTATCTCTTACAAAAATTGTTTAAATGATCACTAAAATTCGCAGGTGAGGGACTGGCTGGAAGGTATCCTAACTGGGTCTGATGAGACAGGGTACCGCAAAACAAACCTTTTAGGCGTTTTGCTAGATTAGTTTATTCTTCCCCTTTGTAAATTATACTAAGAAGAATACTGCAATTATAATAAAAAATAGATGTTCCAGCTGGATCAATGGTTTTCTCACAAAAACAGGACTTAGTCGGTGAAACTGAAAGTACGCGTCGCTGGGACTGAATGGCGCCAAACGGGAATTTTCCATTGAAAGTGAGTCACACAATAGCTGAGACTATAAAAAGGTTTCGCACTGAAAAGCCTTAAGAGCTAAGCACATTGTTGCATACATCATCAGTCAGGATGAGGGGTCTGCTGTGTGCCGTTCATGCTCTGGTTTTCGTCCTAGTTCTAGTGTCCTCGCCAGAGAGGAGTTCTGGATTCATTGGCAAAATCCTTGATGAACTGCATCGATTCGATAAAAATGTGCTTAGAAAGGTATCAGAGCCGGTGAATGACGTCCTCCACAAGTTTGATAAAAATGTGCTCCGACCTGCAGCGGAGCCTGTGAAAAAAATGCTCCACGAGTTCGATAAAAATGTTCTCCGAGAAGCAGCGAAACCTGTGAAGGAGGACTTGCACGAGTTCGATAAAAAATGTGCTTAGAAAGGTAGTGACGGCCCTAGGGCTCAGAAGAATTCGCAAAACTTACCAAGAATTTAAGCAAGAAGTTGTTCATTCTAAAGTTACCTTCACTGCTGATTCGTACCGAGTGGAAAAGATTGTTCCCTGCCCTGATGGACAGCATGATATAATGGATGCAGAACAGCCCGTTGAGATTTCCTTTGAAGACGGTGTGAAAATTATACAAGACAGATACTGCAGAAAATGTGGCCAGCATTTCTTCGGTGAGGCCAAGCGAAAGGATGAACTTTGAAATAAACCTCGAACGAGACAGTTTTAAAGAAGGGAGAGGTAACATTTTGAACCTTGAGGTATATCTGGGATTTTTGTTACGTAACGTCTGATGTCTCGTCATGACGACCAACTGAAGTGGAAAGAACACATTAATTTCATTGCAAACAAAATATCAAGGCTAACAGGTATATTATGTAAAGCGCGGCATTTTGTAACTAACATATCAGACTCATCTCGAGAAAATATACAAACTGCAAAAGAAACTTGTACGAATAATAACCTTCAAAGAATACAATCACAGCTCAAAACCATTATTTGATAATCTGAAGATACTGAATGTTTATCAAGTTAATTATTACACTATTGCTATCTTAATGAAAAAATTTTCAAATAATCAATTACCTATCTCATCGAAAAATATTTTTAGGACTAATGAAGAAGTTCACAACCACAACACTCGTTCAAACAAAAAATTACACAAGCCTTATGTCAAAACAAACCTCAGGAAATTAAGCATTAGTTTTAAAGGAGTTGATGTATACAACAGCTTACCAAGTGATCTAAAAAATATCCAGTATAAATCGACTTTTAAGCGAAAATTAAAAAATTATATTCTAACGAATAGTTTATAGTAATATATTCAATACCAATGTAACTTACTCACGAATCTGTAAATCAATGTATAAGATCTGTAATAATTAACCGCCAGACTTGTCTTATCAGGTAGTAAAGGGGGTCTCCTAGATAAGCCTAAAAAGGCTTCCAAGACTTCCCGCTCAGGATTATATTAATTGCGTTGCAGTATGTAGTGTTGTTATAATGATGATCTTGTGCAAATAAATAAATAAATAAAATAACCTGTGTACAGCCGACCCTAGCCTCCCCGATTTTTTCAGGGGAGGGGAGGGGGTTGCCGTACGCAAGCAACAGCTGAGGCAAGTCAGAAAACTGCTTCCCATCTTTTCAAATACAAAAATATGCAAATTCAGTCAGCCTGGCCTCTTAGAAATTTTGTCATCATTATTTATTACATTAGAAACAAAAAGGATTTCTTAAAATCCATTTTGAATTTGTATATTTCTCTTTCCTCCTGATTCAAATTGAAATGGTAAATATATTCATACACTCCCTGAAGCTCTCTCGAAAACCATACCCGATTTCAGACCAACATGGGCAAAGTCTAAACCCGTTTTTAGACCAAAATGGCACAACGGCACATACCTGTATGGCCTATATGTTGGAGTACCCCTCCAGGACTAACGGCCAAAAAGTTAAGTCGATAGGTGCAAACAAGGGAACATTTTAACCGTTACTCAAAAAGAAAATAACCTTAAAACTATCCCAGCCAAAGTTTATTCTATTTTTGCAATAAACTGTCGAGAACGCTTTTTTGGAAGGTATTCACTTTGTCTGACTCTAATGGCTGATGTAGCTGATGTCAACCTAGTCTTCTCATCCGGAAAGATCCTAAGAGATTTACGAACCATTAAAGATGTGTTTTGCAAAAATGGAAATCAATTTTGAACTTTTGAAAGTCAAATGTCTTTTTCAAAGGTGTCCATTAACCGGTGTTAACCGCGACGGAAAGAAAACCATTAGTCATGAGCAGGGTCATAAGAAGTCTCACAACAACTGTAATTGCCACTTGACCCCATATATTTAATTGGCTTTTTTCTAATTCCCCATAATACAGTCTATTTGCCCTCCCCTCTTCCCAAATTTTGCATAAGTTATAGTTTTCAAATGTTCTTGGAATATGCAGGCCTCCCTGGATTATTTAAGAACAAAAGTTTATGCAAAATTTGGGTATTTTCAATACGATACAATAATTTATTTATCCACGTTATTGTCCAAGAGCACAAGTGCTTGTTCAAAATATGAACATGCATTAAATCTACAATTACAATTAAGTCCAATATTAAAAGAAAAAAAGAAATTTAAATACATAATCTATAATCTATGTACACATGAATATAAAATGTTAAAAAAATTACACACCAGAAAAAAAAACTTAAAAAATATAAAAATTATAGCTGAATTGATCTTAGCTTAGACTTAAAAAACATTAACATCATTGGCCAGCTTGACATCCTCTGGAAGTTTACGCTTAAAAACTAGTTTGATGGCCTCTTTTAAATTTTAGCAAATCATTGTAATCAACAAAGTTAAAAATGCCCTGCAGGAGAGGGTTCAAAGCCAATACTAAGTTATCTCTAAACCAGGTAAGAGGTTATGTTTACACTTGGCAAAAAGTTGCATTTTATCCCATGAATCAATTTTTGAAGAGGTGGGAGTGTTAAAAGCTAGAATCAAGGGTGCTCTTGAATGGGTAAAATGTCACTGCAGTGACCTTTACGAAGAGAAAATGAGTTAAACTTGTTGAGCAATGATTAGCTACCTTTTTATGCCATTGCTGTAAAATCAACTGATGTTGGTAATTCTAAGGAAGGAATTGCATAATAAATTTACATTAACACAGGAGCTGTGACATTAATCATGGAAATATTCCCTTGCCATTGATTGATGAGAAAAGGCAGGGTAGATTTTCAAGAAAATATCAGCCCACTTCTACCACTTCCTCAAACTCTTCCTTCGGGATACTTATTTCCCTGCTGCACACACTTTCAATTCGACTGAGATATTCTGGAAATTTAGGTAGAACTAATTCCCAGACTTTTTCTGACGGACATCTGCTAACCAAACTAATTGTCTGTGTATCTTTTGCATCTCCAGAGTACTTAGTTGTAATGACAAATGCATCCTCTCTTAAAACTGCAAACTCATCAAGAAATGAATCATACTTATTTGGAATATAATCCACTAAATTACGTGTCTGAGACATGTTGTTTAGTGAAGTCAGTGAAGCATCATTCAATAAAGTGCTGCTATCACTGGTTTCTGGTTCTTCTGTTTGCAATTTTAGTTTTATTTTTCGAAATATTGTCAGTGCCTTGCCAAGAAATTGCCTCCAAAGCTGAAACCACAAAACAAAACACCAGTCAAATGAGCAGATTTCTCTGTTTAGACCTGATGGCCTCCACGCATGTGATACAGGAATTTTATAACACTGCCCCCAAACATTTGTTGTCCTCATCAGGAATGGTGGAAACACACCCTGCCTTAATTTGACTCTGACATACTGTATAATTTCAATGCAGCAGGTTACAGTATCTGGAGTACCTGAGCACAGCTTCTCATGTTCATGGAAAAGGACAGCAGTTTTAAACACATAAGAAGACAGGCTAATGTCTTTTATTGGCCTGTTAAAATATGTGTTGTGAGTTAGAAGATACTTCAGTACCCTGTAGCATTTTTTATGGATTGGATGTAGATGGCGCACCAGAAAAACCTCAGTGGTAGCGTGGGAAATGTGGAGATAAGGTGCATTGGGGGACTGCCCTGACACTTTGCACACAAGATGAAACTTTAGGTTTCCTGTCATTCCAAATACATACCTAGGAAAACCATGGATATCACTTAGAGGAGAAAAGTCTTCAACAGACACTGCTGGCATAATATCAACACTAATATCTAGTGAGTAGGAAGTTGTTAATGTCAAGTCTCTTTCACAAAGTCCACTATATATTTCAGGACCTTCATAGTTCTCCTTAAACTTGTGCCACTCTAATTTCAAAGCTAAATAGTCTGAACCTTTAATGACCATGACACCATGTGGAGTCACAATCTTCTTCTTTGACAAGGCTTTAACAACCTCTTTCAGAGTATCCACAAACTCTACACGCAATCCTTCTTGGTGTATGCAGCAAATATCCTTGTAGAGTCGCCTAGTTATGTTCGCCATGGCCTCATCGAAGCCAGAGTTGAGAAAAGCCACCATGTAACCTGGTTGGCAACCTTCAGTGCCCTCAATTCGCACATTTTCACTCCTAGAGAGGAAATCAAAACACGCCATGAAGTCAAACTCATTTGGAGAACAAATCTTAGTTCCCTCTGCAAAACTCCCAACGCTTATTACTTCCTTAACATCCAGGTGAGGTTTTATTCTCCCTATGTCATCCACGACCAGTTCAACAATCTGCTGTGTTGCTCTGTGCATGTGATCCATGGTTTCAGCGCTAAATTGATAGGAAAGGTCACACAAATTGCGTTCAACATGTTCCAGGAACATACTGAGCGCCATTTCTTATATCCGTCACTGTTCAAGAATTGTTGTGTTCGACGAAGGAGAACGCTTACTATTCGTGTACCGTACATGTTCTAGTTACCGTTCCGTATGCTATGCAACGGTTTTGGACGCCATCTTGGACCGGCCCAGCACATTTTGCCTCGATCTCCTGTGTTTAGTTTTTCTCGCCCGGGAGCTGTATGTATTTTGTGACATTCGTTCGCAGATGAGACCGGTTTGGTGATTTTCTGTTTACTACAGGTTTGTTTATAGTTTTTCGCGCAGTTTTCAATTCAGATTTTAATTATATAGGAAAATTTCCATTATAAGATAATCGGACATGTAGATGTTATGTTAACTATGTGTTCTGCACACTGTATTTGGTTTAATTCAAGCAAGATCAGCTAAGATCGACCGGATTTAATTCTATTACAAATTACATCTTTTCGCTTTTAAAAGCTTCTTACAGTGTTGTATTTTCTTTTGTTTGTCACCATTTTTGGAAAATATACAAGAAGTTGAACAGTGAAACGTTTAGGTACACTTCTAACCTTTACTTTTCAGAAGGGAAAGTGAAGCAAACACCAAGTTTGTTGGACACAAAACTGTGAAATTTTTTCCAGTTTGTGAATATTCCCTTGCTATGTTGCCAAAATTGGCTTTGTATTTTGTAGTATATGGTGTTTTCCTTAATGGCATAGCCAAGTGAAATAACTGTCTTGCTAGACTCCTGTTGTAGGCATTGTGTATCAATAAGTTGATTGTTTTATAAAGCCAGTTTAAATGAATGATTTTTTATGTGGCTCATGGGGACTTTTCTTTCCCTCATCACACACTTAGGGATATTCCCCTGTTTAAGTGGGAATTTATGATACCACTATTTATCTGTAAAAAATTGGCCTGTTAGACAGAGGTTGGAGAAAGTCATATCTGGTCATCCAGGAGATGTAGATTTTCTTTTTGTGCAAGTAACTTTTTAACCTCACTTGGCTAATTACAGGCAGACCACCCTCTGTTCATGTGGCCATTGTTGTTTTTGAATCTGGGCATTGGTCTTTTGTACTCAATAGAAGAAAAACAGATCAACATTCTCTAGCTCTAAACTTCTGGTCAAACAATTATCTCACAAAAAAATGCTTTTAACAGCTCAGGATGATGAAAAAACATGACGTGTGACTAAATTAACATTTTGCTAGAAATTTGTTTGAACATTTTGGTTCAAATCTGTATTTTGGAGTGAACTTTAGTGGCTGTAATGTTCATCTTAATTTATTTTATTGAGTACAAAAAAACCGATGCTCAGGTTTCAGTAATACCAATGGCCCCATGAACGGGGTGGTTTGCCTGTGGTCCAGTAGGCAAGGGACCATGCAAGACATCTGGTAACTGAACAATTAGCTAAAGCTAGCAAGCAATGGCCCTGGAAAAGTAAAATGTGAGAGCTGCTAGTCCAAAGGTCAAACTAGAATTTAAGGTTTTTTCAAGTCCTGTTACAGTTAAGACTGCACTTCTGTTTTACATTTTTTGAAATATTGAGAATCTCAAAGTTTTCAAAATAATTATGATACAGAATCATTCACTGTCCAAGATGTTGTGGGGGCATAGTCTTGTAATCTTAGAGTAGAAATTATGAAACCTTTCAAATGGATACTCAAAAAATTGTGCAAAGTACATGAAAAAGATATAATTTTTTTTTCTGAGTGGAAATCTTTTAAAAAGTAGTTATACCCAGTCCTCTTCTTGGGATAGATCTCCTGTGGTAAGATTCTCTTCTAGATGACCAAGTCCAATTAGCAAGCACTTTGCATTTGGGTGGTCACTTAAAGGATGTTCAATGTTCAAAACTGAAACCTGAACAACAGGATATACTCTGAAACAATGTTATAAGTGACTCTGTTATACTAATTTCCCTTTTGTGTGTGCAACGAAGGAATAAGGAGATGTCTGCATGGAGACTAATAGGCATACATGAGGAACATGGATGCTGCTGGAAAACAATGTTGTTGATTCATATCAAGTTATGATGTTCTCTTGCACTGACTGTTATGCTTCTATAATTTTTTATTAAATATAAACTCTTCTTTTCACTCATGACAGGCTGAATTTTTGTGGCCATTATCTTTTTTGTCTTTGTTCAACCTTTGACCATTTTTGTCTTTCTTGGTAGTCTACATGTGCAGTTTATTCTATTAACATTCCCTTACAAGCAGTTTATTGGGACTGGATATTGATCCCTCCCTATCCTGGTCATCCCATTTAGCTAATCTCAGGAAAAACTCTTTAAAGCATGTTGCTGTTATGGCTTGCATAAAAGAATTCCTACCAGTTAAATATCACATCAGTTTAATTAATGCTAGTATCAAACCCATTCTTGAGTACTTTGTATCCATTTGGGGAAGTTGTAATACAAGATTATTGGATGAGGTTTTTTAAGTTAAAAAAAGATGTGTGCATATTATACTAGTTGCTCCTTTTCAGGCTAGAACCCTGCCACTATTTCTGGCACTCAGTTGCTACCCATCAATCAAATCTGTATTGAAACAAGACTCCTTCTGTTAAAAAAATTCTGAATGGAAATGCATTGTGTTACCTCTCTGAGAAAATGTTATCTTTGAAATATCACAAGTCACATGATACAAGGTCTCGGTTGCCTTATCACCTTCCCATTCCATGTACCAATAGCATGAAGCAGAATAATGTCCTTTTATAATTCAGTTAAACTGTGGAATAATGTCAGTGACAATGATTTAGTCTGCTCTTCTGATGTAAAGAAGTTGAAAAAAAAGTATTTTGATTCAGTTATGTGAAAATTCACAGAATTTTTTAGCTTTTTAAATGACTTACATTTTAATAATTTTTCTTAAAGTACTTTAGTTTTAAATCGTGTAAATTTGAGTAAATTCTCGAATGAAAACTTTCGAATTGACGTAATGTTTTTAGCTTTCTTAAACTTGATATTTAAATCATTTATTACCTTAATTTTAGTAAGGATTTTAGTATTTTAGTAGTTTCATAGGGGGAGAATACAGTAGAACTGTAATATTATTATGCACTTTATTGAAATAAAGTGTCATTCATTCACTCATTCATTTCCTAACGTACTTTTGCAGAAAAGAAATCAATTACAGCAATAAAAATTTTCAAGTACAGGAAAATTATTATTGCAAGTTTAAATAAAGTTTGACCTTTTTTGGGCTTGAAACCTTTTTTATATTGCCAAAAATATAATATCAGGTGGGATATTTGGGGCTGAGTCATTCTTAAGATTCATTGTGGTTTGTACATGTGATATATCTTATTCACTATTTTCTATTTTGTTGTATTAGTTAAATAATTTGGAAGAAAAATCAAGAAATGCTGATGCAAAAGTAGCAGAAAAAGCCCAGCGGGTTAGCTGTTTAACTATGCTTCAATAATTATAGTCATACTAGTCACATAACATTTCAGAAGTTTCATGGCTCAATATATTTTGTGTTGTTATTTATTTGCATTTGTTTCAATCCATCCATTGATGTAGAATGTACCAGGACTTGAGACCAAACGTGAATTTTTCTGTAGTTTGACCAGTTGAATACAGCTGTTCTTGTTAAGTCTTGTTTTGTGGTAACCTTTCCTATGAGCCTTTGGACTTGCTCTTGGCATACGCATTCTCTAGCTCAAAACTGTGCTCTAGAAGTCCCCGGTGGTCTTTTGCGTGCTAACCTTACTTCCTGGGCAGCTTGAAAATCTGTTTTTTTCATATACAGCACATGCTGGGTATCCTGTATATCACGGGTTCACGGCACTGGGCTCCCTTCAAATTTCTCTTAGAGCCGATATGCACTGACCATGAAATTAAGATCTCTGAAATGACCTAGTGTTACAGATGGTGTAATCCATACACTGTGGTCATCATTTTGAAGCTGCAATATTATTTGAACATGCCTGTTTTGTTTTACCTCTAAATCTGAATCAAGCAAACATCTTGGTAATGGCCGGTGGGAAATGGATCAGTGTGAAATTTGAAATTCTTGCATCACTATTTGTTGGTGCAGTGGCTTTTTCAGCTATTATTATGTCTCAAGATGGCGGTGAGTATGTATCTAAAAAACATACCCTCATTCGATTGAGTAACCGAAAGCGCAAGAAAACCCAAATATTTACACGGGTTCATTAGAATTAGGTGATCAGTAAAGGGTATAGTATATTACATTTGCGTAGAACTGAGGGAAATCAGGGATTAATATTGTGCATAATTTAAGGTACTAGTGGTCAATCGAGTCACAAAGTGGAATAAATACTTTATTACATCCATTTTTGAAATCACTGGTGACCCGTGCAATATCCCATTTTTTGCTCTACATCGCATCTTCTCAGGAAAACCCCCTGTATTGCCTTATTTTACTTTCCACGGCAAGGGCGTGACAGGATTACTTTTTTGACTGTTCAGTGTGGAAAATCAATTAAAATCGTATCTGCTTAATTCATTGTTTCAATTTTTCGTCTAATTAGCTTTTGCTGGACTTGCCTTGGCTTACGTTGTCAACAGACTTGGGCGTTGTGCGTGAAAAACTGAGATTCTACGGTCATCACTATAGCTCATCGATTGAACACTATCAAAGACTGTGATAAAATTTTACTTTTGAAACGTGGAACGGTAGTAGAGTTCGACAAATTTGACACTTTGGTGAACACAGAAGAATTTAAGTTGCGTGAAATGGCGCGAATTGCAAGTTCCAAAACAACGTAACTTCAAATAGCCTGTTAACTTTTTCTCAGGCGTTTTCTGTAATTCCTTTGTTAGCTATCTTTGGTAAGCACACTTTGTTCACTATGTACCGAAATTTATTTGTTACGGGGAAGACCTTCAGCTGGTTTTTATATTTTAATTATTTGTGGCTCGTGCTACTTCATCATAAGGAAGTCCTCCTCACTGTTTAAGTATACTTGTCGACGAGTATTAAAGGAGCTGTGGTAACAGCTTGAATATTCCTTTAGAAATTTTCTTGTCCTCATTGGCGTATTTTTATTTTATTTTTGAATTTTATGGGCATTAAAAATATAGGGCTTTCTGTAGTTTGCGATAACGACCTCGACCTCGACCTCGACCTCGAATTTCGTCAGAATAAACTAATTTTTGAATCAAGTACAGTTGTGGTGTAACTGAATATCATTTTTGAAAGCAGATTAAAGCCGAAAAGTAAGTACTGGAGCTTGTTGCGCAGGTCCACAGGATTCGCTGCTATTTATCTCCAGAGACGACATGCCAGGAGAATAGAGAATCATATAACTGTAATCTAAGCACGACGTGGCAAAGATAATGTTCGTTCGACCTGTTAGTGGACCATGTTATGTGTAGGAGTGCAAAAATGCGAAAAATGAATTCCTACCACGCAAATTTCCTTTATTATTCCTCGTTGGCCAAAGTAGGCGTAGGAGGGCATAATACCTTGGAAATTTTTTTGAACTCAACACGACCACCACTTCGTTCATTTTTCTCTTTCCAATGGAGTCACTTGATCGTAATGAGGGAATGACAATAAAAAAGGCCTACATTTCAAATGCAACTGGAAAAAAGCTTCAAGTAGAAGAGCGAAGGCAGCAAGCAATGCTGTAGATGTTTTTTGTATAAGGTGGTGAACGCTTAATTGGGTAGGAATAATCTAACAACATGGAAAATTTCAATAACATTAGTCATACGTTGGAATGTAGCCCTTATTTCTACTCTTGTACCAGCAGAAACGAGCGCAGCAGGGTATAGTATTGTTATGTTAACCATATCCATACTCTAGACGCACGCAATCATAACAAGTCAAAAGGTTGAACCTCTCTGTGGGACTTACCAGTCAACACAACTATCTCGTTCTCACGTTTCTTTGTGCCAAACGAGTTTAAATTCTAGTCATTTCCAGAAGTTATAGACATTTTAGTCCAGATATTGTGGCTATATTAACAAGGTGACTTTTATATTAAAAATTGAAGAGCGCGGTGCCATGGAAAATTTTTAACCGGTGATACAAACAGTTTTAACCACGCTTTACCACATCCGCCAACGTACCGGTGGACGCTTCATCAGTAACAGATAATGAAGTACCAGTCTTATTCAGATAACTTTAGCTTAAAAGGGACCCAAATGCGAAGGAAAGCAAGACTCCTGAGATTTACAAGCCGATTAGAGCAGAAAGTTAAGACATCAACATGAGGACAACACTGGCGATTATTTTCCTTCTTGCTGGGATTGACTATACAGCCGCTACGAAACACAAAGGTACTAGTAAGGATACCTAAGCCACAATTCATGATAATTACGAAAGGCTATTTGTGAATTTGTGTATAGCTTTGATCTTAATGTTTGCTGTAGCCTAACACTGAAGTATTTAATATGTCTCACCTTTTTAACACTAAAGGAAATCTAAATGAATAATATGTTACGTTATTGAAAATCACTTTAAACATTATGAAAAACACTCTTACTGATTTTTCACTTCCTTCCTTCCTTCCTTCCTTCATTAATTGACTCTTACTTTCACAACAGCAGCTGCTCCCCCTAAAGAAGATGGTGTGCCGAGTGGAAGCAGTGGTATGTTGGAAGAAAAAACGCAAACATTTCTTTTCATTTCATTTCATTTTATTTTCTAACTTAATTCTTTTTATTAGACACTCAGGTATTATTTGTCTCATTAAGTTCAAGTCTCTTACTTGTGGACATCTATTACTTCGCTTTTAGCAACCTTCGAGCTGTAGCCGACGCGTTTTCGATATGCCTTTTCAAAGGAACCTCTAAATTCGCGAAGTTATTGAAAGAGATAATTTTTTGTACTTTTGTACACAATTGTACTTCCTAGTTCGCAGCCTGTTGATCGATCCTTTAAAAACTGAGATTTCAAAACTACTCTTTCCGTGTGACCTCTTTGTTAAAATGATAGTTTCACTATTTTTCTTTCTCTGTTTTTTTTTTCTTAACATTTTTACCATTATCTCAATGAACCAAACGATTAAATCGACAGAAGAAGAAGGCAAATCAGATTACATCGTATTTTATCCTGAGTTTTCTTGTTTCATCTTTACTTTATGTGACAACACGAGGGATAGTTTCCCATTTGCTGCTTCTCCACACTTCCATATATGTGAAAAAGCTTTGGTTGGCGCGCATTATTTCAGATCCAGAAATCAGACTTCGACACCTGTCTAGGGATATTGTGTTATGTTGTCCACTGAAGACCCCTCTGTACAACCCTGAATAGTGAAGAAATGGACACCGGGGAATTTTTTAAGGAAACCTAACATGAAACGATAGCAAGAAAAAGGAGCTGTTAAAAATCTGGGGGAGGCCAACTTTTTCGGTTTTCCCAAAATAGACACTGATGATGGCTAACCAGCTGCTCTAGATGGTTATCATTATTGTTTTTGTTGCAAGGTAATACTAAAAAGAAAATAAAATCGCGATAATCCCTACCGCTAATTTCGCACGTGCCTTGATATTGTTACCCAAAATCACGTATCACGAGTGAACCATTTGCGCCACTCTTTGGGAACCTAAAAGACGCTGAAAAGTGCTTATCGAACTTTTTAGAATGTTCACTGAGTCACTGTATGATTTCCCATTTCCGTAAGGTGATCCCCGACCCTCTGCTCATATGTTTGATCGGGTGTTGCTTATTAGGAAAATCTTAAACACAACATCATACTGCATTCTCAGGTTGCCATAAAGTTCGATTTACTGTATGTAAAGTTTTCGTCAAAGAAGTTGATAAGAATTTTTAGCACATTGCTCTTTTTATTCATGTTTACCCTTGTTACCCCCTACATACTGTGCACTACAATTTCCCGCTTTTCCAATAATCTACACTGTTCAGTGTCGATATTGCTCCATTACTGACGGATAATGTTGTCGATCCATGTCCTCAGAAAACGTACTTTAGCGTACACGCCATACTTTCCAGCATGGGCGCAACCCTCTCCCCAGCTGGTAGCCCCCTCGAGGTAGTGCTTCCCATTATAGTTGCACACCAATGGTCCGCCGCTGTCACCTTGGCAGCTGTCTTTACCACCTTCGCGAAAACCGGCACAAAGCATGGAGGCGTGAAGGTTGCCATAGGCGCTTTGACACACTTTTGGAGACACTAAGGGAACGGTCACTTCTTGTAATTTATCTGGTTGCTGACCTCCGCTCCTAAGAGTTCCCCATCCGCTTATCAGACACTGGTTAGTGAGGTCATCCAGGGGGAGATGATGAATATCATCTCCTAGACAGACGAGCCCCACACCACGTCCGAGAACTGCTAATCTGTTGAGTTTGATGAGAGCAGCGTCGTTTTCGTTAGTGTTCGCATTGTACTGTGGATGTCGTACAATGTCAACAACATTAAATTCTTGAGTGGTGTCCTCTCTAACTTCCTTACGATGTGCACCCAACCTTACAAAAAGAAAAAGGAAGATAAGTCTGATAAGGTATGAGATCAAAGCTCATACCTTATTGTTCCAAAAATAGCATCGCAGAATGCTTGGAAGTGGCCAGTCGATGTAGAAGCAGTTGGCGAAATTTTCGATGCTTTTAAACTTCAAAATTACTCTTCTTAAAGAAAAAGTGATCGAAAAAAAAAATGCCTTTGTAGCAACTAGAAATATTCCCTTTCAATTGATTTAATGTCATACTTCACTTTCGTCATATGAAATGCAAATTTTAACCAACAACTAGTTCTGATCTTAATATGTTATGCATTTGTCACAAACGTGGGAAAAAATGAAACAAAATTGCGATCATTTGAGAACTCGAGCCTTGGTCAATTCAGATTCTGCGACTATATTTTCTGTCACTTAGGCTTAGACGAAATCAGATTGTTACAAGGATGATAATTATTATTTTGAAATATTCTACATTGACTGCATATGCATTTACGGCCTCATCTAAAACAAGCCGGTGTTGAAGTGCCCTTGCAAAAGTCAAAGACATGACCTTTACCAAATTTTAAATTGCCCGGGCTGCGATCCAGTGACACAGTGAGCTGCGGTCAGAACCCACTGCTTATGGATCAGAGAACCACCACAGAACTGCCCTCCGTTGTTTCCGCGTAACATTGCCTGCCACGGAATGCTGTTCTTAATTGTCTCTTGCCCACCAACAATTCGTGCATTTGAAATAGGACGATCGCCACAGGAGGACGGTGAAGGTGGAGGTTGAGGACCGGATGTTCCAGTGGGCGGCGGAGGGCTTGGTGCGGAAGTTCCTGGTGGGGGTGCGGCTTAAAACAAGATTAAGTTAGTGACAAGATTAATCGATCAGTATGTGTTGCGAGTTTGACTGGATCATAATGATGTCAAACTACTCTGAAGCCGTTCACTCCCAGGTTTTTGTTGTTGTTGTCGCTATTTTTTTAGTCTGTTCAAGGTGAAATCAACTGAAAATTATCTGTAGACAGTCTTAAAGCTCCTCAGAAAATAAAGGTGTTATCTTACAACACTATTTGAAATGGGCTAGTCTTTTTTTAGCGCATCTCGGCATCTTAGACTATTCAGTGGCAAAAACAACTCTTTCGATAAATTATATATGGTACAACTAGAAATGTGTGGGAAAATTTGGTGAGCTATTTCAGAGCTCCATTAAAAAAAATTACTGGGCTTCTTGACATAAACCACGAATGATGTACGATTTTACACTCTTCATGGCACAACTTACGGGTACAGTCTCCAGATCCTTCGGAACAGTCCGCATCAAAGTCAGGAACAGGGTTACCTTTAAGAGAAAACACAAGTACTATAAGTATTCGTCCATATTATGCAACACTACCTTAAAATCAACACTACCTTAAAATAATGTCCGTAGCACTAATCAGTCCTACTCAAAACTTCAGCCAAACTTAACCTATTCCCCTTAAGAAACAGAATGAATAGATATAGGCATCCTTTACACTTCATCTTCATTTAAGTGCCCTCACAAACCAAGTTGAAAGTGCTAACCAGTCCTTCATGGGAAATATAAATAGGACAACCGTGATTGTGAGATTCGCGAGTTGGTAGACTTTTAAAAGGGCAACAGGATCAATCCGCATAGTAGCAAAAACAGAAAAATTGAATCATCCTTTACCCATTGCTTCGACTAATTTGTAAGAATCTTAATTACTCATAAAATGAAGAAGACGTGAGAGACAAATGGAATAGCTGCCATGTAACTAACCGTAAATTCCAACAAAGAATGCCAACAAGGTGAAAAGCGCAAACCTCGTCATTTTGAACAAAAACCTCGGGAGTTCTTTGTTGTCTGAAGGTCTGCATGTAAAAAGCCCTTCTTCATCTGCCTACTTTTATAGTAAGAGTAGATCACACATTGCTCTTAGCGCTCTTCCTTGTTTTTACAGATGTTCCATTTTCCTATGCGGGTTTAAGTGAACAATTTCTTGAAGTGTTTTATCAATGAACACTTTGTTACATATTACTTTGACGTATAAACGTTTTAAAAGTTCCTTGTGGGTTTTTTCTGTCAGCGGCTTGTCGCAATCAGCGCACAGCTGTTTGCATTTACCTCTCTGTGTTTGAGGAAAGGCCAATTTTAGCTCGGTATATGAATGCAAGATCCTAAAAGCCCGGCGGAAGCCCAGCAAACAACTCATTGAAGGGTCAACACAGTTCTCACTTGTGACGCCTCAGATCAAAAAATAAATGGCAACCTGAACATTATATACTGCGATAAAATTTGTTTAATCAAGTATTAAGATATTTTTTTAATCCTCTACTCGACGTTCTTGTCTGTCTTTTACTTTAGAGAATCTATGACGAGGTAATGGTGATCATTTGAAAGGCTCACCCAATCATGTAGAGGGCCAGAAGGTCAAGCATTTCTTTAATTTTAAATGAAGTTTAAACACATCGTTTGGAATCATTTAACTTTGAACCCTTTTTAAATCGGGAATGTTGTTCTAGCGACCCATTTTGTTTACCATAACGACAGAGCTTTTAGGTTGGACAAACAGTTCATTCTACCATTCCCAGTCGTAGCATCAAACTGAGAGGAATTCAAGCAAATGAGCACGATTTCATAGATAAAAGCAATTCTGCAGGGATCCAAATTTACGCTTGTACACATATGGTCGCTACGCCCATGATTTTCCCTTTTTTTAGAGTCGCCGGCGACTTTACGTTGTACTTTCTAATATGATTGATTCCAGAGGCAAAGGAAACCCTTTTTTATACACCGCACTTCTTCGCACAACAAAAGCCGGACCTTTAACAATGAACATGTGGGTAATTGAGCTAAACAACTGAACGATTCCTCTCCGAGCACTACTTACGTGTATTTACGGGGGTTTAATCAATAAGTAGGCCCATAATTTTAAGGTGATTAGACATTCTTTTTTAATAGTTGACTTTTGTAGATCGGCGATATTATCATAATTTCAAAGTAATTACTGTTTATTCGAGTCCATAAAGCTGTGTGTATCTTTCTGAGTGGCTGCTCCTTCAAAATAACGAGCTTGTACAACGAACGTCTAACTGCAATAATAATGACATAGAAAAAGGAAAAAATGGGAGAAAGCTAAAAAAAATATTGACTGCATTTGGTTGTTGTCATTAAATGCATAAACGATAAAAATGTGTTGTTGTCTTTTCTGTAACATTTTTACTGAACGAGTAAAGGTTCATTTTATATTAACGGACTCCTTAGATGTGTGTGCGTGTACTATGCGATAAATTCCCAGCTTTTCTCTTTCTAATCATTGACAGGTCCTAAGTTTATATAAATCTTTGGAAAAATAACATAAAAAGATTATAAATGAGGTCATTTGTGTATAGGGTGTATTGAATTTCCTCGTATTTCCAATCCAGACCAGGAAGAGCGGCATATCGCTGAATATGGCTAAGTAAAACGTTGCTGGCAAGAACATTAGCAAATTAGAAACTCTTTATTATTTTAAACCAACAGCCAAAAGTTAACCTTTGACTTACCCAACGAATGTTTTTAGGAATCAGTTTTTGTTCAAATTCTTTGAGTTATTTAGAACACTCTGAAATTAAACATTCATAGTCAGTCGAGTAACTGACTTAGCACCTTTAATTAAGTTTTTTTCGGACCCAATTTAAAGCAGCCTGTTCATTGTGGCCAACATAAGAAAAATTCAGCTTAAAACGTGACGACCCAGCACAGCTAAAAAGGTTAGTCTGAAAGCTGTTAATCTGAGTATTGTTGAATAATAATTAATAATAATAATAATTTTTTTTGTAAGAAAAACGTGTTCAAATTTTCGTTTTTCCCAAAAACTGCCCGAGACTGGAATCAGCTTCTCCTTGATATACCTGATATTACATCTCTTGTCGAATTCAATAATTACTTTAGTTCATTAGGCTAATAGGAGCGTTTCAATTTGTATAGTTCATTTTTTATTCTGCATTGTACTTATTGTAGTGTATAACTTTTACTTTTGCATTTTGTACGTGGTTGGTATGTTGCCTAACCGGCTTTTACCGAATTAATTGAGATGATGATGATGATGTTGACAATGACGATCCTCTGAGTAATTATACCTTTCCAATCGTGGATTTCAGTCTTGCGAGAAAATTAGCTTAAGACCCAAACGTACAACTACGTTTTGATCGTAGGCCATTGTTCCTCCTCGTTAATAAATCAGAAGAAGACTAGTACTATTACCATTGTTAATAGTTCTATTATTAGCCCAATTACTAGTGCCGATTATGCTTCTCCGAAGGCTGAATTTACAGCGACGATCAGCGAAGATATGTATAAGCCTCTCAAGCCACTTTAAACTTAATGCCTTTTTGGTTCTGTGAGATGTTGCACTGCTTGAAATCCTACATAACAATGGGCTTGAAAAATTTAATTTTGCAATAAATTTTCTGTAATATGAGAGGACACTCAAAACCCATTCTTAAATGCACCAGAAAAAGCCTGGGAACAAGGCTGACAAATGTCCAAAAGCATTCTGGTCTATATTTTCGACTTCCATGATCTGTTGGGGCTCAGGAGTCTTTAGTGGAGCAATCGCCTATTCAGTTTCTCCTTCAAACGTTTAATTATTGCTGTTGTCGTCAGTAGTCTGCTTCGGCAGCGACTTGTCAACAATTTCGCCGCACAAGAAGAAAGAAAACCAACATCCTAACCAAAAGCATCCGGGGAAATTCGCCAAACAGCCCTGTAAGTGGGGAAGATTTTGTTGTTACGTATGTCTCAGCCATATATTCACTTTGTTATGATAAAACTGATACTTGCCCACTTGTGCTCGATTTTTTTTCCAGGAATGTTTAAAGTATTTTAATGTCAAGTGACTTCAGTATTCGAATGCGTGTGTTTATCGTAGCTGCAGTGATAACAAGTGATCAAAGCTCATTACATAATAAAATTTTGTCGCTAATAATTTGTATTCATTGCAGCTGCATTTGATGTAAGCGAATTTGTTGGTGCCGCTAGCAAATTGCCTTTATTTTCAAACCAGTTGGTGTGTGATTTTTGAGATCTTTGTCGTGTAAAGTGAGGAATCATAGACATTCTCGCTCTGCAAACACGAAAATTGTGTTGGAAACATTACTATTAATACCATCGCACCTTTGACTAGACGGGAACCTTTGTTTCACAAGATTAAATCATCAGTGTTGAATATTATATTTTTCAGACAGCCCTTTGTTTTCAGCCAGCCTTTGTTTTATTCAGGGTTTGCGTGGAATCCTAAATCAAAAGAAAACATATTCAAGACCTTTATTAAGTGTTATCAAGTCTCAAATCAAACATTGGAAGAAGCCTGTATCATTTTTTGTCATTGCATTATTAAATACATAAATTTCCGTTCAGAATTTTTATGTGCAAGTTCAAATTTTCTTGTATTAACTTATTTGAAGAATATTCACCTTGAGGGTGAACCCCTGAAAACTACCTTTAGGTGTTAGTCATCAGATTTGACTCCTTAACTTAAGTCTGGAATTCAAAAATAATAGTGTTGAATCTTGTTCACCAAAATTTGCTTGTTTGTAATACCAGGGCGTGAAATTGCGCCTAATACAGGCACCAATGCAACTAAATTTTTCACTTTGGTGACTAGACGTTTCATCATAACCTTACCAAGAGATATAGTGAATTAAAAAGATTTGCAAAGATAAATCCGCAGCAAACTTCCTTGTTAAGTTTGTTTCCAAAACGTAGCACATGCATCTCGATCGATAACTAGACGCCATCTTGGATTTAGATGAGCCTGAACGTTGTTTATCATCCATCCTAGTGTCCACTTTGTAGCACGTTAAAGATCTTTTCCCTAACTTAATTTTGGAGGGTCTATCTAGAACGCTGACAGCATAAAGAAAGATTTTGTTTGTCTTTGAAAATGGCGACCAACTTTTTTTGAATTGGCTACCACTTTGAAGAATTTAGGAGCCAAGTGGCTATCAGAAAAAAAAGTTAATTTCACGCTCTGAATACTATTGCTTGATTAATTTGATCAGGGAGTCAGCAGTGTATTGTGACTATAAGCTGCGACAGTGGATGGACTGGTATACCTGATGTCCGCTATGACGAGGCAGGAAGTTCAGGAGATGGTGGTGGAGGAGGAGATGATGATGAGGACGGTATATCCTTCCTCAAACTTTTTAATGTAAGTGATATTTGTCCCAGCATGGTTCAATTTCTTAAATCATTCATATGACTACAGATCAAATTGGACTCCACTCAGTGGCAGTTGTCTGATTTTGTTAATCACTTGACTGTATAACAGTACTACAGATGGAATTGGACTCCACTCAGTCCTATTTTCATTATAAATGGCTTAAGATTAGTTTGATTTGTATTGTCCTCTTTGTAAAGATTATGGAAATATACCTGAAACAAAGGAAGCTACAAATTCAACTTAGTTTGTTAAAATCATTTTGCCCTGGAATTCATTTTAAACTACAATGCATGGAACTGAAAAACTCCAATAGTTGTATTATGACAAGAATTTGAGCTCAAGTTTGCTATCAGTGAACAAGTAAAATGCTTTGGAAAGGTGAAGAGATTGTTTCTTGTTTTGGGCCTGTGTAGATAAGGAGTTAATTAGTTTTGTCCATGTATGTATAGGTTCATATTATGGCTGGGGTTTCTTGAAACCCCAGTAACTTGCAGTCATCTCCTGACTCTCTGGCGAGTGACCATGACTGTTTGATAGGGGTGACTGCTTCATAGAGGTGAAAAGTACAGTGATTAAGGAGAAAAAAATCTGGGACTTTGACAAGTGACCCTTAATAGTGGGTGACCGCTTAGTACAGTCCCACTTAATACAGGTTCAACTGTATTATGTTTTTGTTTTTGACCAGGATTCCAAAATAGCTAATGAGAGTGACAATGACCAACTATCAAAGTCCCTGCTCTATAGCTTTTGCCTTAAAAGTGGTGAACACGATGTGGTCAAGTGGAGAGCTGTGTTGCAAAATAGCTTTCTTTATGTAGAGGTTCCACATGGAGAGATTGCTCCTGGAGGCAAAGAGTGGTATGTAATACTGACTGCTGTATGTATTAATTCTTGTTTCTGTGGCAGTTTGAATTTGCTCTGATAATTAGATAAGTTGTGGTAGGTCTCTCCTCTTTAATTGTAAGGTACAATCTCACATTATTGTGGCTAATTCTGTCTGTTATGGTTAATAAAAGGTTCTTAACTCTGCATTGGAAGAGCCAAATTTTGAACTTGTCAGTACAAGAACTAAAGTTATTAGCCTGAGGGAAATTTTCTTTATTTGGTCACATCATAAAAACATTATTGTAAACCTCTCTACAGGTATTCAAGCAATCTAAATTGAGTTTAAGATGCTTTTGTGAGGGTTGTTAAGCTGTCAAAAAACCATCGGTCTTCAAGACACTCCTAAAAATCTTTTTACGCGCAGCAACTTAGCTTATACCACTACCACTCATTGGTGGATCTGCCAAGCCTATTGCCTAGCCTATTGTAAACTAGCACTGAGATAGCATTACCTCATGGCACTTATTAGAAATCTTTGTTTTGGTTAGTTTTGTATCACTGCTGGAGTATGCAGAGGAACATCTTGACTGCACTCACATATTTGTTGGTCTACTCAAGGAAAGAGAAGACAGAGGTAATTTGAATTCTTGGGCACAAAGAACGTACTGTACCCTGAAATTCCCTCATTTTCTAATTATAATAACAGAAATGCAAAATTATTATTTGTTTGTCTGTACTAAGAGTTGATGTTACTGTTATGGCCTAATTTGCCTGTGCTTTCTTTTAGCCCTTGAACTTCTATGAGTGACCAAGACAGAATCTCTCCTTACAATATCAATACAATATCAAGCAGACAAGTGATAAGAATAAAGAAAAATATCAAGTAGAATATCCAATAATTAATTATCCAAACTAACATCATGAGAATTGTGTGGCAGATAGAAAGGAGAATCACTGATGAGATCTTGAGAGTGAAAGGGTTCAGCTCAGTTGTACAGCATATAAATGTTTATTCAACTCAGTTCTTGCTTGTAACTAACTATTTGGGCATCCTCAAGTCATTTTTCAAAGTCTTTCTCTAGCAGGGTACTGTATGTAAATGTAAATAAATAATTTTTTTCTTTTGGTTGGTCTTTTTGCAGTGAGTCTGATGCGCACTTTCATGTTCATGGGTTTTGAGACAGTGAAGCCAGGTCACGAATTGTGTCCAGATAGTCCACACTTCATCTTTATGGCTTACACTATTGAATAGCAGTTGTGCCCAGGCCTTCCACAGGCTACTGTTTGCATGCAATACTTTTACATTGTACTTAGTTAATACTAAATTGATTTAAAAATTAAAATGTCAAGATTTGATGTGGGCTCCCCAAATTTCATAGTTTAGAGATATGAAAGGGGAAATCTGTGTCTGTTTGGGACAGTACTCAAACCACATAGACATTGTATGGATTGAGAAAAGATGGAAAGAGTTATTTAGCCATTAATTTTTACTTGAGTTCGCCAATTATTTGGCTTGGTGTAAACTGGTTTTGGAAGCTTGTAGTTGCCTCAAAAATGAGTGTAAGGTGCTCATAAATGTAACACATTTAACTTTTTCCATTTCTCATTACAGACCATCAAATGGAATTTTTTTTAGTAGTCCATTGTAAGAAAGTGATTTTGCCTCTTTTGGCAAAATATGTTAAGAAACTATGGGGCTTATTTGTCCATAAATCTGGTAACAGTTTAGTATTTTACAGTGTGAATGATTATTAGTTATTATGCATGATAATTCAACTATTGAACAGTTTCTAGAGATTTTTCTTGCTGTAGCTGTATGGTAGATTCAAATGACAGCTTTACTCATACAGTCCCCCTTTCTCCACCTAGCTACCATTAGTTGTCTTTCTTTTCGCAAGAATTATGAGGGAAAACATTTTTGTCTTAAACATATAGAAGTCTTTGAAAAGACAATTTGATAAATATTGTTGTTAAGTTTGATGTGTTGTGGATGCTCTCATTAGGTGCAGCTAAGTGTTGTTTTGATGTAGGCTTGCTCAGTATTGATAGGTTGGGGTGCTCATGGTGAGATAATGTCATGTTGATTATGAGTTCAACAATAAAGTCATGTGAATTGGATTTTGTTACCTTTGTATTTCAAGCCTATAGAATGATAGAAGCTGCTTGCTTACAAGAGGTAAAAACTTAACTTGTAGTGGTCTTCTTATAGCTTACAATCATTAGAGCACCCCCTCCACAGCCAAGCAATTATTTGATCTGTAACACCCTCTTTAAGAAAATCTCATACAACAATTATTGGAGGTGGTTCAGGCCTTGGAAAATTCAACTTATTGTGTTGGTGAGTCATAGCCAATGAATTAGGAGGCATTTTCTTAGAAGAAACATTGTAATAGCATTGCAAGGAGCCTTAGTTTCCAATGGCTTGATAACAGCAGCAAACAAACTGGTGGATGAGAATCTTTGTAAGAGCACTTCTCAAAGAATGTGCTAAAAAAATGTGCCCTTAGACATTTTTTAGGTGAAACTTGGGGTTTCTCAGCAAAAAAAGTAATGGTGTGAAGGCAGTTACTACATTTTCATGTTTCGCAGGTCATTTTATTTTTTGCCTTTACTTTGAGTTCTCATTTAAGCTTGTGTCTGGCGCATTTTCTCTGTGCTCTGATTGGCCTTTGTGATGACTTAGGTTTATCAATACTCAGCTATACAGACTCTGAACCAACAAAGAATAATGGAAGTAGTCCTGGTTACCTACAAGAGGGTTTGGATTACTCCTTCCATGGGCAAAATTTTAGTATTTAGTGAAAGAGATTTAGGAGATTGTTGCCTAAATGAGGTGTACTCAAGAAGGAATACCTGAATTACTTTGGAAATTTATGAGAAATCTTTACCTGTAAGTCTTACTTCTAGGTGATATCAGTCATTTCAAATGGTGTAGAAAAATCAAGAACCACTTAAGAAGCAACAAACTTAACCTTTGCAGAGAAATGCATGAGTATGACTTCTAACTTTTCCATATTTTATTGATATTTTTTACAAGCACTCAGGGCATGTCTACCTATCAAGTTTCTGCTGTTCCACTGCAATGTTCCAACCATCAAGTCAACATCATTACTGAGTGTTTTTGATGTGACCATCATACAATAACATTAACAGCGTTACCTTGCATCAACAACAGATACACAAGGCTCCATCCACTTGTTCTAAAGTTAAGCTGTATGCCACATAGCATGTGAACAATTGTGTTGCCATGCAAAAATTAATACACACAATAGCTAACAATGTGTTGTAGTTTCTTTTTACAGGCAACTAACCACCATTACTAAAATTTTTATCAAGGAAGGATTGGCTGAAGTTTACAAATTTTGGCTCTAGGGCATCTCATCTATTCTTAAAGCCCAAACACTTTACGCACATCAACTACCGCTGAGACAACGGAAGAAGATCTACTAGGTTTAACTTTACTACATGCTAAATAACAACTAGTAGTTTTTAAGAGGACATCAATCATAAAAAAGAAACTTTGGTGATTGGCTTTTAGGTGCCTAGAAGAAACAATAAGCTGCTTTAATAAATAAAATGATTCAATTTTTTATCGATTTTGTGTGCAAGTGCACATAATTGTCAACTGGATTAAAGTGATTTGATTTAATAGGATTGTTAACATGTGGCTGGACTACAGCAGGATGCATGATGATTCCTCTTTCTCTGTCACTTCACAGGGTTCTTTGCCTTGGCTGCAGTCACGTACCACAACAACAATCTATACAAAAAGAGACACTCCAATTTTAACTTTATATTTTAAACAAATATGCAAAGTCTGATTCTATTTTAATACACCACTCCACACCAAACTTTGGTGGTTACAATTTTGTTGATACTACTCTACAGAATTATGAGCTCAAAACTGATATCACAACACAATTAGTTGCAAAACTTACTTGAAAACACAATACAACACACTGGTACACAGAGCACTTTACTCTGCACAATGAGTCATTAAATGCCACTCTGCAGTACTTAGTTAATAACACTTCTCTGGGTAGTTGCAATAATTCTAGTGCTATGACAATCACAGAGTAACCAAGGAGAGGGAAAAATATAACAGTGCATTAATAGTTAGGTGTGATAAGGTAAGACTAATGATAATTTTTGTTATGCATTGAAAGAATTTATGTTGAACAGATAGTAATAACTGCCTTCACAACAATTTACATAGGAACAGGGCCCAGTTTTTTTAAGTCCAGATAATGCTATCTAGTAAGTAAAAGTTAACAAAACATACTGAGCTATCCAACCAGTAGAGATTTATCAAGTGGATAGCATTGTCCACACTTTGGACAACTGGGGTAGAAGTCTTAACTTTGGTGGCTATGAGCATCTATGGATGTCAATGAAATTTATGTAACCTGTGCAGGTACAAATTTGCCTCTCTGATAACATGCATCTTCTAGGAGAGTTAGTCTCAAAACTCTCACTGAGTTTGATTTATTCAATTTCAACTAACCTCTTTGAAAGAGGGAAAACTTCCTTGTTCAAGTTTGGAAAAAATCAGTTTTCCATTCACCATTACTTCAAATGAAGCTGCAAAAAACGCATTCACAACAAAGGAACCATTAGTAAACAACTTGCACATTGTTGAAAGTTTAAAAATTGTCCCTTCTCTAAAAAGAAGGAACAGACAACAGAAGATCTTGTTCACTACACATTTTCATACTATATAAACTTACATGTGCGACCAACTTGGCCGACAACATTTGCTTCAGGGACATCGGCCTTGATCTTATCAGCCAATTCCCTGTAGCGTGGGGCGTACCCTCAGGCACCGCTGAATGATAAGGAAAACAAAATAAACAATTTGTTCATATGATGCAGAAATTAAGGGTGTTCATTATGAGTGAAATTAAGGGTGTGTTGACTACTCCTCGACATCTTTAAATCCTAACAAACTTTTCGAATTATTTCAAAGCCATGTAGTATTTATCAAGACTAGAATATCTACCTAACTAAATGCATTGCTGTTGTTTTTCACTGACACAGTCACTATCATATAATCCCATAGCATGTTGCAAAATTTATCAAAATAAAAAAATGGATTCTAATCAAACAATAATACTATAGAGCAGCTTTTGTCTCTTTTAAAGGAAAATCTTGACCCCCTTTACAAAAACCCTCCGTCCTTAAAAGGGATGGGGAGTGTAGAATAAAATTAAAATGTAAAAAACAGATCGTGTCAGGACACAGAAAAACAAGTGACGACTTGTTTTGCCATCACTTACAATAATCATCACCAAGACATACAATTTCCTACGCCAGAGATACAATATATAGTCCTCTATTTCTTCGTATGTTTGTCACTTTATTCCTAAATGCCCGTAGCGTTTAAACTGATTGAATTGCAGATTAAATGATATTGCACTTTCGGGGTGGTTCAAATCTGTTTCCAATGTATCGAGCCAGAATATTCAAAATTTGGCCTGCTATTTTTGGGTAATAAGAGAACGAATTAAGCTCTGAACTACTAAATTGATCTTCAGGCCAATAAAAAATTTTATGACTCTATATTAAAGTTAATATATGCTTTGTGTAGATAAGAGTTAAAAATGAAGAGTAATGAACTCGTGAAGGTTTGGGTTCGATGAATGCTCGTTTCGGTGCAAGCCGTTGCAAACGACTGGTTTTACAAATCTACCCCACCAGAAATTATAGATTTCTACAACGTTTCATTTGAAACAACAAGGAAACGCATTCAAGCAATTTCAATTCGTTGCCTCGTCAACAATTTGGGTTTCCTGACGTCCACTGCGGCACTGCCATGAAAGCAAGCTAATCATCTCTTGGCCATAACCATTCCAGAGCGGGGGTGAATGCTGAGTTTATTTGGTTGAATTAAGCAAGAACTTTCCAGCTTCTACACAAAAGTTCAAAGCTCAAAAAAATTAAGCTGATATTTGAAATGCTAATTTACGTTTGTCATTGAACCAATGCTGGCCGATGGAGTACAAAAGCTTGGCTAGCAATTTTCTAATTACTCTAACTTATCTTTTTACTTCTTAGTAGAAAAAATGAGATGGAGGAGGGCTTAAACGACAATAAATTCACGTAAACTTACCAATATTCTACGGAAACTTCGACTTTCGAGGCCATTCTGACGAGATTTCTTCCTGAGACCAAAGCGAAAGATATCTGCCCCCTCGATGTGCCTCCTCCAAATCTGACTTTTTATAAATCGTGACCAGACTCGCTCCCTCCTCGTCCCAACCCCTGCGGATCCCTGCGAAGTACACAATAGCCGCGAGCCGTTAATGAGAGGACCAGCGGTTAATGTAGTAGTTCATGCTTAGTGAACGGAAGTATCATTCAGGCAAAGCGTGGACGGGATGTCGTTCATATTTCGCAGTCCCATCAATGCTGAATTCAAGCAACGGCAAAGTCAGCTGTTTTGCGAGCAAGTTGAATCTGACTTTTGCTATGGGAACTATAGAGAACTGAAATTTTATCTACATAAGTATTGCAAAGCGAGCGATCGAATTTTAGCAACTGGCTGCAAATCGACAAGTGATGGAGAAACTCTCTTTATCGAAGATTTGTACGATGCAGGCTTCCATGCTGTCGTTGGGGTGGACAGCTCTGAAAAGAACATTTCTACTGCAAAAGAAAGGAACAAAGAGAACAGACCTGAAATTCAATTCGTTGTGGCGAAAGGCTTTAAAGTAAAAGAGCTGTCTATTTATACACGATCCACACGTAACTTCTCTATACTACTTCGATACATTATTCAGAAACCAAGCTATGAAAATATACAAATCTATCCGCTTTGAAAGCAAATAGTTGTGACCTCACAAGTTATGTGCAGCAAACAGAAGAGAGAATAAGTAATTGTAAAATTTATCCATAGACATATAACTCACATCCCCAGTCAGCGTCCATTATCCTTGGGTAAAGCATAGGTCAGGTTAGAGGTAAAATAATAAAATTATTTTACATATGTAATTTTTGAAATCACAAACATTGTATTTCTAAGGAAAATCATTTTAAAAGTGCCTCTAGATTCTATTTTGTTGGAGCTGATGACTCAAATTTTCACTGACCAATTTTCTTTAAAAGTTGTAATTAAAGTTTTTTTTCTGTAACTTTGCCTGTAATGCCACTGGAAAGTATCTATTAGAGCTTATATGTTTTTGCTTTTTTCAGATTGATGACGAAGCTGATAGTTTCAATGTACTAATAGACAAGGGAGAACTGGACATGATACGTAAAGAACAATCTTCTTTTGAGTTATATGATTTTGCACAACATTTTGAAGCAGTACAACGCCTTTTGAAAGTTGGTGGCCGATATATTTGTTTTTCATTGGCAACAACAGATGTTTTGGATAAACTTCTGGTCTATTTTTCATCTGGATGGTTCTTTAGGGTGCACATGCTGAACACAGAATTACTAGATGGAAAATTGATTTCATTTCCCTTGTTTTGTTTTATCTTGACAAAGACGAAATCTGCAGGTGATTATTATAAACCATACTTGTGTGGTGTGCAGGCTGAGACAATCCCTTCCAAGGAAGATAAAGTGGGTGTAATATTCTTTGGGTAGTGACTCATTAGCTAGAAGGATATGAGCTTGAGATTTCTACTGTGTGATATTTAATGAGGACAAAGCCCAAATCAACTGTCACACAGAAATTGAGAGTATATGTTTGAAGACTGTTTTTATTTGTCCTGCATTCCAGTAGGATAACAATGTTGTGAATTTTTGTTCTCAGTTTTTGAATAAAATTTAAGTGGACTAGTCTAGAATGATAACTTTAGTCAGCTTATTAAGACATTGCAAATTTGACATGCCCATGGAATACTTAATCATAAAATAACAAGGAACCTCTGGCGTGGGTCATGTACTTTGGCTGGAAGATAGTTAGTGGAATAGTTAATGGAATAGTTTTCAGAATGGCTGTGCCAATTGGTGCAAATGTAAGATGCAGATTGTCTTATGCAATCTATAGGTTTGCTTTTATTTGCTGCTTTTTTTTTTAAATCTATACATGATTTATATACATCTAGGTTTATCAAGTCAGCCATTAAAAATCATTGAAGTATGCCTTGAGGGAACAGAAAGCATCCAGAGATTGAATTGTTTTTCGGAAGTCAAGACTAATCTTCAAGAAATCCAGCAATATTTCATGACAAGGAAATCTCTTGGTATGATTGTAAGACAGTGCTTTGTTGAACTATTTCTCTCAGCTTAATTGCTGTGGTTTTTCTCCAGTGCAATCTTTAATCTAGAGTGAAGACTCTTTTCTCAAACAAAGGCTTGTTATCAAATGCAAGATTTATGAAGATCTTAAAATTTAAATTTTTATTCATTGTGAATGGTGCAACAGTTCCAAGAAATTTAAAAATGCAGTTTAGGCCAAGTACAGCTAGAGACAATGCTGGTCAATAGTGCTGTTTTTAGATATGATCTTAAAGAAGCCCTTGGTAGTGACTGGAAACAAGAATGCAATGAAGTAATAGAAAGTTTAAATGAGCAGAGAAACAGCCCTGTGCATACATTTTAAAACTGTGTACATTTCCCAGCTGTCCCTTACAAAACAACAACATTAAATCACCTTGTCTATCTTAGAATGGTAACCCTAACAGCAAATACATTTTCTGTTTCTATTTGGAAATCAACCCTTTGTTAAAATGTTATACCATAAGAGAGGTCTTGCACCACAATAGACAGTGAACACCTTGAACTTCTTACACAATATTTAGGAGAAATGGAAGTTCATTTTTTTATGTTTGGCAAGGTGTTCCCATCATGATTATAACATCCTATCCTCCACCTGTTTAAAGTTGTGTTATTTACTTATGTTGTTTTATATTGCACTAACTCCTACACTGCTCCTCTACCCTGTCTACTCGTTGGTAAATATTGGCTTAGTGTGTGTAATGTTCCACTCACCAGGAGTGTTCCCATGCCTTGGGGTAGACTCTACCTCAAGAATGCAACTCTCTGCCCCACCAGCATTTCAATCATCTGTCCATGCTCTCACTTCTGTTTTACTCAATTTTATTCCTTTACTGCTTTACTTTGTTTCCCTGCAGAAAAGTTGAGACCCAAGCAACACCTCAATGTAGACTTGTATTTATCATCTGGAGGTCAAAAACAAAGAAGTGAACCTCGTTATTCAATGGCAATTGTAGACATTCAACCTTCATTGGCAAAGAATGGAAAGTTTGCCATATTTATTGTACCACAAGGTAATGTGTTGGACAAGTTTTATGGTAGAAAAGTAGGAAAACTGAAGACTTCTGTCAACAAAGTAAGATTCAAAATGCAGTAGTTGATGCTATTAATCTATTTGTGTGTAAAATTCAGGCCCTGGTTGTTAAAGACTGGATAATGTAATTAGAAGGTGATTTGCTCTCTGGTCAATATTAGATAGCAAACAAACTGAAACAACTCTAACTTCCAATTCTGCCTGTGAACAGTAATATTGTTGAATCTCTAATTTTTATTATTATTATTATCATTTTAAACATTATTTTTGTCACTAGCATTAGCATTAGCATTATCTTCATTAACACTAGCATTATTGTTATCGTTATCGTCATTGTTACCGTCGTCGTTACCGTCATCGTTACTGTTACAATCATCATTGTCATAATGTTGTAATTGTGATCATTATCATTTTCAGTGTACACTGCACGTTGTTTTTTTAGTTGTTTTTTTAAATGTTTATTTAGCTCAGTTTGTTTCGTTATAATTGAGAGTTCAAGTTAAGTTTTTTTTCACAGGAAGGGAAACAGAATGGTTATTTTCGTCGAAAGAAGGACAAACAGAACTTAGCACAAATGCGGGTTTTGAGCGTGTTGTGATTGTGACTCTTGGGAGAGGACACACCTTTACTGACATGGATGCTATTAAGGGTGAATTGTCAACCAAAGTCATGGAACTTGCTCCTCGAAAACTTAGCCGTAATGCACAGGTAAATCGAATTTAATATGAATTTATTTTCTAGGGTGAGACAATTTACTTTGCAGTGTCTCTCTCAAACCAGACATCTAATAGCTGCTTGAGAAGTGTCCCAATTTTCATACGTGGCGAAATGCAAGGGAAGGCGGGGGGGGGAAGGGGGAGGGGTAAACTTTTAATAGACTGGCACGTCATCTCGATGGGTAACAGCAGTACCATCAATTTTTGTTATAGGGATTTGCAATTTAGGAAGGAGAGAATATCTTTCTTTCCCTCTCTAATGCTGTCCCCAAGAAGTAGAAATTCTGCATTTTGCTTCTTTTAATACAGGCTAACGAGCAGACTCCAGAAGATCTAAAAGGAAGCATTTGTAATGTATGGGTTAAGTTTTAAAATAGTTTTTCTCTTTTCATCTTTAAGGTACCCTTCCTTTCTGTCGGCGAAGATCTTGGAAACCGTGTAGTTTTGTATGAAGGAAATTCACAGTTGAGTGGAGACTATGTTGTGGAAGATGTCGACGGGGATGGAGGACAGAAATTTCGACGACTCATTTTTCTTAGCAACAAGAACGTAGTGCAGTCAGAGGCCCGACTAATAACAGGTGAACTTTTCTTTAAGCAGGTTTTAACTAAGTGGCGAAACACTTAAACCGAAGTAATCACGACAGTCAATCAGAATAAAGGTTTAAACCATCATTGGCTAATTAGAACTTGCCTGTGACAGGCAAACTGCTTGAAGTGCGTGAAACACGTGTGACTAAGTCGCGATTGCTTTTAATTTTGTATCTGATCAGTTTAGAGGCTGGTGCGAAGCGAATTAAAGTTAAGCGAAACCATAGTAATTCCGGATTAATTTTGAATTTCGATTAATAAATTTCGCGAAACTGAAAATGTCCAATTTTTGCAAAATTATTGGGATTGATGAAATTGATGGAATCCATAACGTTGAAAGCCCGTTGAAGTAAAAGCATGGTATGCTTTTGTCTTAAAAATAACGGCACGTCTCTTATTTGGTTCTTTTTCGTTTAAGCAATAGGAAGCAATTGCTTGTCAGTTGACTGATGGATAAAGGGGATAAGTTTTTAAAGAAACTGTGGTGCTGCGTCGGTGGGAGAGTATAGCAGGTAATTTAGTGTTTACAACTGAGTCGAAAACGTAAATTGGCCACCGTAAAGAGTAAAAAAACTGACATTTCGAGCGTTAGCCCTTCATCAATCGCTCTGACGAAGGGCTAACGCTCGAAACGTCAGCTTTTTTACTCTTTATGGTGGCCAATTTACGTTTTCAACTCAGGTGTTAACACTAAATTACCTGTCAATTGACTGGGCTGCGTGGGTTTAAGAATTTACACAGTCTCTGATGGTTTTTCTAAGATACCGAGTTATTTTTTGTTGTCGTTGTTGTTTTTTTTTATAACTATTCAATGTTGTGGTGTATTTCTGTAACTTGCAACTTAACTTTGATATATTTAAGTTCTCTGGTGTTTATCTTTAAAATAAATGTTCGGTTTTCAACCAATGAAATCATGTATAGTACTTCAGTTATACCAAAAGCGACTAAGTTGTGGTTGGTTTTTGTTTCGCACCTGATTGGAGAGTGGCACGAGTTTTCTGTACCAATCACAGAGCAAAGTAAAGCAAAACTGATATAATCCCGAGTTCCTTTCAACACTCGTTTGAAAATTGCTTTATCATATGCTGTTGTTGTTTATAACTCACTAATATTGTAATAATGATAATTGCACCGTTTATACAGACAGAACAAATGTTAAAAAGGGTAAAGGAAAACAGAAGGCAAAGGTTCATAACAACAGCAGTCCCCGAGTGGATCATGGGTATTTAGCTTGTCAGCATCACAGAGTGATTGTCACCGGCCTGGCCTGGATCGAGGGATTTTGTACCACAGGTAAGCCATCGTGGTCTAGCGTGTAGCATGGCAATTTTTACGGGTTCCATCAACCACGAAATAGTATTCCCGCGAACGGTAAACTATTTTGCGACCGGCTTTGAAATGCTTTAGCAAATCACGTTTCAGATTTTGTTCTAAATTGAGAAAAAAACTGTGAAACAAAAAACGAGGAAAGAAAATTTCTGAATTCGAAGTTTGAGCAATCACAACCTCGTTCCAGGGTTCTCTCTCTGACTCCCTTCTTTCACCTGGGAGGAGGAGAAAAGACCCTGGGAACGATGTTGGGCCAATCAAGTTTGCACATTCAGCGTTATCATAACAACATGATGTTGGCCTTTAATGGATATGGTTTTATGAACGGCAGTAGTGACTTCAAGTTCATGTATCTCTTGAACCAGAGATTTGGCAACAGAGAAGCCAAACAATTTCAGTTCTTCGCCGTGTGGTCCTCTGCATCCAAACATTTTTCATAATCAGAGTTAATTCTCTGTTTCACCATTTGTGTTCCCAGTGCTACGCGGCACAACATTCATATGTACCCTTACTTTCTCTTCGCCGCAATTCACCATCCTAAATCGTCCCCGACTTTCTCTGTGCGACCTCGTAGCTCAGTCGGCAGACCCCACCGAGGTCAAAAGATTTTTTCTTTGCCTCGTGTGGTTCCCTGTTTCCCTTTATTAGGGCTAACGCCCTGTGGGTTATTCATGGGTTTAAGTAGCACTTTAATTTACACTTCAGAGTTAATTCTCTGTTTCACCATTTGTGTTCCCAGTGCTACACGGCACAACATTCATTCATTCATTCATTCACATTCATTTTTCATAATTGACTTTCTCTGAGTAATAATGTTAAGTATCGTTGTCTGTATAATGTCTCTGATTATGTATAATCTTAGACGAAAAGAGGAAAGGCTTGATAGTTGGCCTCGGTGGTGGAGGACTGGCAATGTTTCTGCATCAATACTTCAAGAAGGTAATTTTAAGATATCATATGAAAATTAAAAAAATTGAAAATAAACCCTGACATTTAGGATATTACTAACTTTAAGCCGTTATGTTGTAATTGTTCGTTAATTTCTACTTTTTTCCCATTGGATTGGAGCTAAGCGCGAATGTTGAATTACGTGCGGAAGAGGAAAGCAAAGCAAGGCAAACAAATTTACAAAGAAGCTCAAAACACGATGGACATCCCGCATTCACTCTGTGAGGCTTTTTTCGTATGCTGTCCCTCACGCTTGTTCACACTTTTCTCATACTTTGCGTCCTCTCCTCTGATAACAGCTTGTTCTACTTTCGTCGAAAACCGACTTGCAGTAGTTTGTGCTTCCTAGCGGTAGAAAGTGGCCTGTACTCTTTCTTCTTTCAACAAGTAGAATTTATGCCCCATGACTTCCACTAATAATTGCTTTCGACCTCTTTTATCTCCTGATGACTGTGTTTACTCGTTGAATTTAGCTCAATGACGTGCACCCCATACCATGTTTACTACAATTTTCAATATATTGCTGAAATCTTGTTTTATTTATACCGCCCTTGATTGATATTTGTTCTTTGATTCACAGCTTTCTGTAGAGGTCGTAGAACTAGATCCATCCATTTCCGAAATTGCCAATAGTTGGTTTGAGTTCAAAGAAGATGATAGAATGCAAGTCATAATTGAAGACGGATTGAAATATATTCGATCCAAAGGTTTGTTTTCTGATCTTAAACTTTTTAGAACACTTCCTTACCCAAAAGAGGACCACAGGATGTTTATGCCATCGATGAGGATATAATGAAATTAGAGTACTGACGTTTGTCTCACGATATAGTGCCCTTCGATGTAGCCTCTTCCAGGCGCGATAAACTGAGAGGCGCTGCGGAAAAAGGGCTGCAGTTTTGTTCGGGTCGTGGCGCTACCCGACCCAAATCTACCCCGTTATTTCATTCGTCCGCTACCATCGCGCTGTTTACTATGAGTTGCGTTCCGTTTCGTCAACTGAAGGCCTGGAACAAGCTACCTACGATACGAATGGCATTTCGGTTGCCAACTACTAATCTCTAGGTGATGGAGTCGACCAGTTACACAAAAATTCATGAACCAACAAGGCTTAGCCTGGAGAAGACAAGCGGAAAGCACTTGACACATCGCGATCCACATCGCAAGTAGCTCCATCGTAAGACGAACGAAATTACTTTCTTACCGTTGAATTTTCGCGATGATTACTTACGTCTGTTACCCACCCTCTCCTGGTGCCCATAAGAAACCGTGAAGTGTCTCTCTGTTTTTCATTATTGTTTCATATTTTACCATTTGTCAGAGAGCACTCCAAGCTATGATGTGATTATCTTTGACGTGGATTCTAAAGACACGAGCGTAGGAATGAGTTGTCCGCCACAGGCCTTCGTGGATAGAGCGTTTCTCAAACAGGTTCACTCCCTGCTATCTCCTTCAGGTCAGTCGCTGGTGTTTGGAGAGAGAGTTGACTAAGGAAGAATGGGCATTTTTAGAGAGCTTTTCTGAAAGGTTCACGGGGAACGACTGCATCTTAAATTACAAGCAAGTGATTTCAACAAATGCATATAACGTAGGTTATGTGCTCCTGATTTTACTTGACTTAAATGGGTAGGGTTTTCGTGCAACTGGGTGCCAGACAATCCAAAGCATCCAGCCTGCACATCGCTTTCAACACGCTGCGGCGGTGGATTTAAATTTATCTCCTTTTAGTGTGAAGTCAACTTCTTTGCCATTCCAACCATATTTTAACTTGTGCATTTCCTTTTTCAATTTATTTTTCGACTGCCCCAGATTTCATGCTTAAGTTTAAGTGCTTATGACAGTTTAAAGACAATAAATGGCTTGAACCCGGGGGTAACATATGACAGTTAAGTCTGATCGTCCGGGTGACTGTAGCCCTGAGGACTGTTGTCTGTAGTAGTGACTGCCAGGCGTTTCGACGAGCTAAGCGGAAGTCATCGTCAGAGTCAAGTTAGTAGTTGTTTTCAGTCGAATGTAAAGTCCGGTTCGTGTGAACTGATTGTTAAGTTTAGCCGTGAGGACTCCAGTGGCGCAAACTATGTGAAAGTGTCGTCTGTAAAGTTAGGTCATCGTGTTCGGTTCGTTTGTGATGTTGATTTCGTCAGTAAGTCGTTCGTGTGGATCCGGTAGTAGCTGACACCTTTTCAGGGAAGTCCGTTGTAAGTTAGTGAGCCAGCTTTCTAGAGTCAGCCGTTGAAAATAATTAGTGCTGTAGGCCGATGATGCATTGCGCAGTCGATAGTGTGGTTCGTAAGGTGATGATATTCAACAATGTGATTCTTGACATCACATTTTCTTGTCGCTCGCTTGTGGTGAAGATGACTTCCGCTCAGGTTGTCGAAACATCAATCACTACAACAGACAACAGTCCCTTCTCAGGACTGCACTCACCTACACGATCAGACTACACTTTCACATAGTTTAAAGAGAACCACAGGTTTATCTTAACGAGGTTTATATTAATTTTCTCTATCTCTGGCCCATATGTGGTCGAATTGTAAGGGATAACCTGCCTCCTAAGGTTTTCTTCTCTTTTCAGGAGTGTTCGTTTTGAACTTGGTTTGCCGCAATACCTCCCTGAGAGAGCAAGTTGTCAGCGATCTTCGGGCTGTTTTTCCTGAGCTTTACACCATCGGAATTGAGGGGGAAGTAAACGAGATCGTGATCGCTCTTCCACAGCTTAGATACCAAACGGACTGTGAAGAGAAGAAATCCCTTGACGCTCTTAAAAATATTTTTCACAACTCAGTCATGAAATTACAGAAATTTGCCAAGAGTCAAAGTCATTCTTGGGATTCAACCCTTGATTTGTGTCAACTTGTAAAAGAAGTTCAAATTGTATAGAGGAGAAAAAAAAAATTTAACGAACAATTGGGTTGTTGCTGTTGTTGCTTCATTGCGACATGAAACTCTACCTCAGATATTCATAGGATTTCTCTCAAGTAGAGAGAATTGCCATGGAAAGCGTTAAGTCAAGTCCCAAAAGCCCCTGAGTTGTTATTTGACACAGAAAATAAATGAACTATAGAGGGAACACAGGCATGTAAAGAACAAAGTCTACAATTTTAATGCTAAACATCCGTTGTTGTTATACATCGCGAAATAAACACAATAATTTACAAAAGAACTCTAAATCTGCATTACACCGAGTGGTCCGATAGGTCCAAGAAAAGGAAAGTCTGAAAATAGAAAAGATAAGGAGCAGTTTAGTGTGAGGCGTTTCAATGTTTGAAGTCTCTTCGAAAGCAAGACAATAACAATGATAGGATTATGCTTTGAACTGCGTTAAATAATACTGAAAGACATGAAGAACGGAAAATCTTCTGGAAAGCTAATTAAAATTTCGTTTCCTCTTTCTTCCAGCTGTTGGTTAAAATGTTTGTATATAGCTGGCTTTACAACCGACGAACACTTTGAGTAGTAGTCTATCACAGGCATCGATACCTAGTGAACGTATGCACTTCTTTTAGTGTGTTACAGGCAAAGCTCCACTGCAGATAGAACCAATCTTACTAACCACTAACTACTAACCACAATTCAGCTCTCTTGGTTTGTTTCCATCTTTTCCTCGGCCTGTTCCTGACCTGATAACTCGGATGAATCATCGTCGTCCTCTTCTCCCTCGTTCTCCCCTTCTTCGTCTTCTTGGTCTTGTTGCTTTTCGTACGCCTTCGGTCCCGGTGTGACGATCACTCCTCCCCAACTGGACACCTCAGTCTCCAGAGCTGGGTACAGACAAAGGACGAGAATGAGAACCAAGAATCAAATTGTCCTTTGGAGAACAGTTCTAAAGGTAAATAAGTTCTCGGACATCGTTAGTTAAGATACCACTTGCACTTTTTCCTTGCCCCTCTCCCCCTTCCAATGTTTTCGTTTTCCAGTTTGCACACGGTATTTCAGAAAAACAATGATAAGAGGGACTGGGAAGGCAGCAAGTTTCCCAGCAAATGCCTTTCAGAGAGAAGGTGTTACAATCGAATCAGGTTCTGTACACCTTCCACCCCACCCCCCACAGCCACGCCCTCCAAAGTGTCTGTCCGCGATTTAATTCTAGTACTTCGATAAGGACTTGTTTATTCGTGTTTCATTCCCGAATGCCAGAGGAACGGCAGATATTATGTCACAAAATACAGCAAGCTCGACTTCCCTATATTCTGCATCAATGTTCTAGGATTTCTTCATTCAAAAGTCTTCTTGGTAAAAGTTTTTCTTGATAATTTCTTGGCTAAGATCAAATACTTACCAACTTGAGGAATTCCTTCTTGACTCTAAACAAAAAAAAGAGAAACAGAAATCAACTGTTGAATCATATCATACGTTGACCTACAGCTGAAGAAAAGAGACAAACATGTAGGTTATGTGGAACCTTCACAAAAGGCTATCTCTCTACAAAAGCCCTTTTTTCGTCCCGGTAGACGGTTCAAAAATCCACTTTTATTTTCACCTTTCTACACTGTTCGTTTTGCCGTCTCTTTCTATGGCCATCAATTTAAGGTTTCTTTTCATCAATGTCTGCTTTTTGATTGTCACCTGGCTTTATCATGTGACCCGTACGCCCCCCGCGCACGCTGCTACGGAAACACATCTGAATAATCCCGGATGGTGTGTGCAGGGAAGGATAAACACGTGCAGGGAAGGATAAACCCGTGCAGGAAAGGATAAACCCGTGCAGGAAAGGGTAAGCCCGCGCAGCCCTTCGATACGTGGGCTGTAAAGAGAAAGAGAGAAAGAGAGAAAGAAGAAAAGCGGCGATCGAGCCGGAGGGGAAAATGTTTGGCTCTCGTTCATGACGTACAGACCTCGATTAAGACCTTGAGCCAGACTGTTTCCCGTACAGCTTTTCCACTGGGTCAATAAATACATTATATGCTGCACTGAGAATCTGTGTTCAAATAAGTACTTCACCGCTACATATCTGGAACGGCCACCTCTCTACAACGGCCACTTTCCTCTCTTCCAAAGGAGGCCGCCGAGAAAAGGGTTCACATGTTCGTCCAACAACTTCTATTACCTCACAATCAGTTATTACAACTGTTACAATCTACTTTACCACTATTGCATGAAACATTGGTAAATATAGAAGCACAACTCTACTACAATCGTGTTGTCTTACCAATCCTAATATTTCGTGGTAAGCCCCATGGTTTAAGCATCGCAGAAGGGTTTGAGCACAAGTTGTGATAGCGTCCTGTACAAACAATTGATGAAGAAAAAAAAACAGTTAACTGCTATTGGATGTCGTTTCGTACAAAATATAACGTTAGCCACTTTAGTGAACAGTATGTAGAAAAGATACGGAACATCGCTCATACCTGTTCCTCGAGGCTAAGAACACTGTGAGCGCGTACATTTCCCGACTAAATGAAGAAAATACAGCAATGTCAAGGTACAGTACAAACAACCACACTTGAACAATCACGAAAAACACCCAGAAAAAAGTTGAGTGAAGGTAAAGGCAATTTATTTCCATTTTTTAGGATTTGTTGTCCGATCTCCCGATCCTGAGGCTTATGACACTTGTACATGAATTTCTCTGGATATATAAGTATTTTAATTATGATCTGATTTTGTAAGCTCACATTGAAAATCAACAATGACTGCAGAACAAACAAATACCTGTAAGTTACTGGTATATAACTAACTCACTAACTAACCAACTAACTGACTAAATAAATAAGTAAATACGTCAATTCAAATTGAAACATTAAATATCACCGTCACCTCACAAGGATCAATTATTCCTAATGAACCAGGCAAAAACAATCCTGCTGAGAGGAGCTGGAAAGCACGCCTGAAATGAAAAGAATTCCTTCTAAGTTTTAAGTTCACTTGTACTGCATGAAAGCCCATTCCCTACGTGTATATCATTCGGACGTGTTAATAAAACGACCCAAATCCCAAAGTTTCTAGAACACTGAACAAGCCACCACACATGCACACAGCTAAATCGGACAAAATTTTAATCTTCTGGATATTTACACAACTTCCCAGTTGATGTGGATAGCTTGTGAATTGAAATTTATTTGTCCTTGAGAAGAGCAGGATTTGTGAGAATTCCATGTCTCACCTGAAAGCAACGTTGACTGGAAGAGGTTGCCGTGATGAATTCATCATAGCTGCACGATGGGCCTAAAAAGAAAAAGACACTGTTAAAAATATTTCCTGTTGGTAAAATAATGTAAACTTGTCTCATCCTTGCTCTCTCTTGCGATGAAAATCCATTATTTTTAAGAAATAACACTGTACATCACTAGTTTACAACTACACTATTAGAATAGCACTTACAAGCAAGTCTATAAGCCATGGTGTGAGACCTTGCAATCCAGTGAATCGTTTTCTAAGATCCTTAAAAAGTCTCACCAAGAGACGTGTACTGAAAGAAACCAACATAATGTTATCATTGCAAAATTTGTCATGTTTCCCATATTTATTAACACACACAATGCTATTAATATGGCTGATCCTTGCACTATGCTACATGCATGTACAAGTAGCTTTTCACATCTGGAAATTTGTACATTGCAATAATATTTATCTGTCTAGAGAGAGATGTTTTTTGTCAGGTCATGTGCATAAGGACCACACTCGTGACAAGAGGAAAAACATCTTTCTCTATCTCTTTAACAAGCTCACAAAAGAAAATTTACTATCTTTCTTATTCCATTGATCTGTATACATACACCTTCTCCACTCGTGTATGGTGAATTACAAAGCACCAGTGAGGGCATTCCAATCAGTAACAAACGACGATTGACCCTTAAACTCCCAAGATCTGATTGCTAATTCTCCCCTCTAGCTGCTACACATTTACTTGTAAATTAGTTACGAGAATTTGGTGTTAGATCAAGATATCAACTCCTACCCCATAAGTTTAAATATTCTCAATACCTGTTTGCTGGATAATGTAAAGATATTATAGGGAGAAGTTTCAAGTTGATCACTTCTGGGAGTTAAAGCATTAGGGCTGCATGAAGATTGATAAAAACTTGTTTTAAGTCAACTTGTTCTCTTACCTTGTGTGGAAAGCATTTTCTTCAAACCAGCGAGCATGTCTTATTGTTGCTAATGCCCCCTCTAGAAGTTTTACATCCACTGCCAAAATAAAACTCATCTAGTGAATGTATGTACATATAACGCATCTTAACTGACTGTAATGCCTGCACACCCATTCTTGGATGAAAGTTTTCCCTCTTGAAATTGTATGCCTGGATAGTTTGCATCAGCAGGAATTGTTGAACCATGGAGCAATTTTATATTCATTGTGTTAAGGTTACATATGAAGTCCAGGACTAATGGCATAAATATAAAGAGTGTATAGTATAAAGAAGTTCAACACTGCTCACGTACCATGCTTTGTTGGGTCAGCATCCTGCAGATTCTTTGGAAGGGTTGTTATCAGCACACGGACAAGAGCCCCTTCTGGACTACTGATGTTAAATCCTAAATGTTGAGAGATAAATCTACTTAAGGAGCCCTGACATGGATCATACAAGTCTCTGGTGAGTAATTTAAGTCTGCAAGACTGTGAGTGAAAAGTGTAGTTGCTTGAGAGCAGCTGATTGACAGGATCAAGACCTTTAAATAAAGGTCTACCATTCAACAAGTACCTATTGCAATGGGCACTGCACATCATTGTAACACCATGCATAATGTGGTTCAAAAGACAAACCCTTACCTCCTTCATTTGACTGAATTGGATACTCTGGACAAGATAAAATAGAACATGATAAATACCAATAAAAACCATTAAATAAAGACCATATCACAACCTGGACAAAGGTCCATGCACATTGAAATTACAGTGTATGGCAGCTGAAGACATTAAGTAGTAAACATTGTTCTACAACAAAAAAATAAAGGGAGCCAATCTTTTTTCCTTTTAATCTTTCCCCATTAATTTTGCCATACACATGGCAACAGGTGGTTGAAAAAGAGATGTGAGAAAACAGTGTCTGCTAAGAGAGTTGAGGAAGAAGGCCAAGGACAAACAGCAAGGGGTTTCTCTAGCCACAGCCTTATATGGCCAGGGGTAAGACAAGACTAATGGCTACTAATTTTGCAATAATACCTGCTGATGAACCATCCTCTTTCAAGGATTTTTGTACTCTTGTTGCTAAAGCAAGAATATCACTTTCTGTGGAAAAAAATGAATCAACAAATAGGTGAATAGATCAAAATAAATAGGTTTTACAGGGCACATTAGAGCAGTTTTCTGTGGACTACTGCAAAACAAAAACCAAAGAAATCAGTTACTAATCAGACAAAGGATTCCAACATCAATGATTAATGAGATATCAAGATGAAAAAAAGCAGACCACCTAAAGTATGGGAAAACAAGAGTGACCAAGACACTATAGGTTTTGGCTTTGCATCTGATTGCTTGACAGGGTGGATTGATTTTTTTTCAAGATTGATCCCAGAGCAAATTTAAGTAAAAGCAAAGCAATCTTGTATTCCTTTTCAAATTCAACTGAAAATTGCTGAAGCTAACTTGATAAAACATCAACTTCTTAAAAGAAATGGCTACAGCCAGGCAGAAAAATTAATCATCAGATAATGAGAGTTTAAGGTTAAAAACACAGCAGACTGGTTCATATACCTGTTGGCAACTTTTTGAGAATCACAGCTAAGTCAGCCACAGGATGACCAAGCAACATTGTTCCCTTCTTGTGTGAACCAACTGCACGCACCTCCTCTAAACCCTATAAAACAACATAAACCACAGAGTACTGTAAAGAGGAGTTCCATTGTAATAATATTGTGGAAATTGTATATATTTGTTTATCCATGAATAATTGAAAAATTATTGATGAAACATTTAGGAGGAATGGTGGATCATAATAACAAATATAAAAATGTTAACTTTTCCTGTCTTCCAAGAAATCATCAACAGTATCTCTATTCTTCTTTACTTTACTTACCAACTTTTAAACTTTTAGTTATCAGTAAGTAAAGCTACATGTACTTTACATTAACCATACTCACCAGCTCAGCTGCATCAGGTGCAACAATCAAATTATCCAACACTGTTGTGATCCTTGTCACAAGATTTTGAACAGAAGCCTGGATAACAAGAATGGTAACCAACTGATGAAACTCATATTTTCCCAGATACTGCATGGCTGATATCACACATGACAGAAAGATCTGCAATATTTACTTTCCATATATTAAGGTGTATGTTAATGTTTAGAGTTCAACTTTATTGTAAAGCTTAATTTCCAGCATAGCTATTAATCCTGAAAGTAAAAAAAATCTGCTAATAAGTGGCAAATTGCTCTCTGACAACTCAAGTTACAAAGCTGCTGGGGATCAACATTACACTGACCCATAACTGAAAATTAAATCATCCTGTATGACACAAGCTGATTGCAGAGTCACAGTCACATTAACTTGCAGGAGGATATAAAACACAGCTGATGCTATTCAGTGCTGACAACAGGTTGGGCAATAACAATTATAATAAAATAAAACCTAATTACTTGTTCTTGTCCACTAGGAGTTAACTCTTGATTTCTTTTTAAAAGGGCCTGTTGGAAAAGACAAACATTAATCAACAAGCTCATCCATTACCAAAAATACTCAGGGAATTAAAAAACATACTGTTGCGTATATTTTCCTTTACTTTCATCAGTCTCATAAAATAACAAAAAAGGCCTAAAATGGCTTGTATCATATTACCTCTGACTGTTCTTACTATCATTTCAGTGCTTTGGGATGTGATGAAATTGAAAACAAAAGGGCCTTATCTACAAAAGTATCAGTTAAGAAGCTCTCACCTGTGTAAAGGCTGTTTCCTCTGGTGCTGGAGAAGCTCTTGGGAAAAAGGTCTCAGCCTAAACATCCCAATAGAGAAGAACAAATGAAAACACAGTAGACATAACTTCAGCATTAATCAGATACTAATTATTAGGGAGTATTCTATTCCAGCTTTAAGTCTTTCGTCAATGTTAACAGAGATCAGTACAATAGTTAAGTCACCACACAAACTCCTATAATGGACTACACCAAGAAAGAGGGGGCTACATGCGTTCTGCACACATATCCTCTTTAACTATTAGACCCCAAAGGGCATCTAGTTCCACCTATGAATATTACACCTAACTCATTTACTAAGGTCACCAGAGTAAAGGAAATGATCACCAACTAGAGAAGCTTTTGATTGTTAAGCAAATTCTCCTAGTCAACATCTTAGGAAATGTGAACAGAAAAGTATAGAGAAGATGCATACTGATGTTAGGATGTAAAGAGTTAAAGAGCGGCAACAATCAAGCCTAGAAAAAAAGCACTTGTACCATCTTTGGACTAGACTGCATGAAGACATGTGATTGCCTTAAAATAAGAGGCTTTTTCATACACTCTCACAACTACCCAATCATGGGGTGAACCACAAGTTTTCATAAAACTATAAAGTATTTAAAACAATTTCCATAGTCTCTCCAAACTGCTACTTAATTATGCAGACACTACTTAAATGAAGGCAGACAATAACGAAAACAGCAAATTACCTTGGGGACTAAGGTCTTGTTTAGGAATAGTATAGGGCTAAACTGAGACCTTTCAAGCTGTTTCCCCGAGAGCCGTTGTCTTAACTCACCCACTTTTTTCCTCTTTTACACTTAAAGAAAGCCTGGAACAGTCGATCTACGACAATTTCAACATAGACTACGGTATAAAAGCACTATCTACGTACTGCATACCACTCGTTCGACTAAATAAACACTGACTGTTAGTTTTCAAACTCATGTAGTGATTTATCTAATCCTGATCAAGTATTAACTTGATGACACGTGGAGTACTTTACTTTCATTTAAACTTACTTACCATAACAGGATCAAAAGTCGAATGGCTGACAACAAATTTTTGTCCCGGAGGACCACGCATGAAGGGTGGCATTCGACCAGGGCCTCCACGCATTCCCCTAGATCGAGCACGCCTCATTTTTCCTCTACGTCTACAAAGGACAACAACCGACAAATTACATGTATACTAGAAATTCTTTGCAAGTTTGTAGTGCTATAACTCCGACAACGACACGGCGGAAATTAACGATTTACGACGTCTCTTTCGAGATCGATGTGATCCAAGCAATCACATAATTTCAAGAATAACGTAAGTTTTAGGAAATCAAAATCTACATACCCTAAAAACACTAAATAGAGTGTCTTTCATCGACATCAACAACAACAGAGTACTTCCCGGCTGTTTTGAATCACATGGTAGATCATCCGGGTACTTTCTTTGTTTCCGCTGACCGAGGAAATGACATCCTCAAGCGTTCATGGCTAGGCAGAATGGCGGAGTGAAATCTCGCATGTCGTCGCTTACCAAAAGCAATCTACCTCTTACTTCTACCAAATATGGCCAAATATTCAACTATGAGGTCTGAGAATCTCTTTAAATTATCCATCGCAAATAGTTTTTATGGTATAGACTAAACAGGAGCCCGAACGAATTAAAGAAAAATTAGAAGAAACTCAGTCTTTCTCACCCCGTTAAAATCGGACACTCAGTGTACCAAAGAAGACTCTAGTGTCTAAACTGGGACACTTGTGTATAAAATCAGACACTAATTTCTAAAATCGAACGTGATGCCCAAAATTGGACACGAGTGTCTAAAACGGACACTAAAATTCTAAATCGGACACTAGCTCCTAAATCGGACACTAAGGTCTCAAAACAGACACTTGAGTCTAAAATCCGACCCTAGAATTTAAAATCAAACACTAATGGTTGAATCCGTCAATAGAATCTTACCGTTTATTCTGTTTTGGTCATTGAACGCGGTATATTCAATCTAAAGTGCATCTGTCCTGGATGGCACCAAATGTTTCCATGATTTTGGTCAAGACCGTTATTTTAAGTAGCAACCAAACATCAATTTCCATTGAGAGGTCATTTCTTAACCACCGCAAGCCACAGGAACATTGACTTTGATCTAATAGCGCTTTTGTACGTTTACGCAAGACTAGCTACTTTCGCCACCAAGCCTCGCTTTTGAAGTACGTTATAAATTTTATGATAAAGAATTTCAAGAACAGCAGAGATGAAAAGAATGCCCACCTAAAAACCGAAGGGAGCTGGAAAAGGTGAAACGATCTTAACGAGGCCGTGGCAAACTTTGACACATCGATGCAGGAGGCCTAATGACCGTCGTGAGTTAATTACTAGGTATTATTTAGAGTGAGTTTTCAACACTTGTGGTGATGCACGGAACTTATCATCGAAGAGGAAGCGACAACAAAAACACACAAACTTCAGTACTAATATTTATTAGTTATTATCTAGGGCTTTTTACATTGACCACTTATCGGTGGATTAAGTGAAAAAAAAATACTAAAATGGAAACAAAAGATTAAAAAATGGAACATCAGTAATCGATAAGAGTCAACTATGTATTCAAAGAAACAGAATGATAGCGCCGTTGGTATAACTCAACTTGCCTCTTAAAACGGTCATGATAGTTGACGATAGTTTCAACTACCACTACCATCTACTGTCATGAGCCGTTTGAAAGCAAACATGATAGTTAATGATAGCGAATGAAAGTTAAAACTATTACCAACTATCATGACCGTTCTGAAGAAGCTTTATTTGATATCCTTAACTTTCGCTCCGAAGGAGGGGTTCATTTACAAGGGATTTCATTTGTTAAAACTATTTCTTTAAGCTATGGGCAAATAAATGTCCACATCATAGTTTGACGATCGAAATCAATTAGCAAGGTAATTTATGTTTCTCGTCAGTCTCGAGTCTAGATCCCGCCACAGCAGAGGACGCACGATATTTGTACAAGAAACCACCCGACACATTGCAGAAGTGACATCTCTAAGGCTTCTTTTTCCTGTGGAATCAAAGAGAGAACAGGTAAGTTCTCGGAACCAGGAACCGCGTATTACTGTATCGGGTTAGCAGTTTCACTGGATGAACTCTACTGGCGTGATTTCTTATGTTTCCCTTTCCATAAAACAGGCATGCATTTAATAGAAAGAGCTTACTGGTCATAACGTGGGAAGTATGTTAAACAAATTTTACCAGGCTTGTCATAGGCAATAATTATCAACATTCCCTGACTCTTACAGACGTGTTTCCTACTCGCTAACATTGTACCACATATTACAATACAAAACTGAACGATCACAGCAAATGAGTGAAGATCATTTTAATTTAATCCGACTCAAAACATTCTTTTCCTGACTTAAAATAGGTTTCCTTCCTTTTCTAACCAGTGTCGAACAAGGAAATGTCAACCTGAGGATGTCATATTTCTCGAGGGTAAAACATTTTGGTTATTTTATTTATTTTCTCAATGCGATCAAGGCGCGAGGTGCTAAAAGCACGGATTCTCGTAAAAGGAATGCACAAAACTCTCAATAAAGGCCACAGCTGTTCGGTATTATCAACATACATTTAAAGACAGGGCTGTTTGGAGTATTATACAACAACGGCTAAAGAGAGGGAGACGTTACTTGTCTATTCATGTGACAAACGACTCGCTTTATTTTTGGACTTACTTAGCTGCAGTGTGACAATAACTGGGTCCAGTCCCAGGTCTGCCTTCGATTGCCGTTGAACACTGAAATAAAAAAAGCAAAGTTTGTTGAGTATCCCTGCGTTTAGAATGACTTTAAACGAGGGAGAAATGAAGACCCATCAATTGGTCTCCTACCCTTGTTTCCACATCAGTCCAGCTGGAATGGCTCTCATCATCGATCGAGTCAGACGCGTGTCGTTTTCTGTTCACAAAAAAATATGTAAATTAAGGTAAATTATCCAAGAAGTAGAAGACAGAATCATGTATCACTCCACTGCCAAGCCTTGGGTCAAAGTATTCCGGACTCAGGTAGGATATTGAGAGAAGTATTCACATCCTTTCTGTAGAAAGGCTGTAACTACTCCTCTGGTTGTGACACTAATCCATCGTTAGTTACCCTCACGAATTTCGTCTTCAAGATTTTGCGTCCATGATCTTTCACAGGTAGTCAATGTGAGAGTCAGAAATAATATCAAGCGACAAAGTAATCCATTGCAGTTCCACCCTGCCAATTCTACATCCGTCTCATTTATTTGTATAAAGGGTCCCTTGATTTAAAAAAGTTTCGGCAGAATCCTCGTCTTTATCAACAAAACACAGCTTGTTGCACTTACCGTCCCGGACTAGTTAGCTCGTCAGATCTTGTTTTCAAAGTTTCCACCTCTGTAAACTGGATGCAGTGACCTCCTCCCACAGTCTTGTACACGTCTCCCTTGACAAGCAATTTATTGAAGGAGATAAATATCAACATTGCTATAAACTCAATTTATAATATGCAAACCTTAATAAACTAATAGACTTGTACTCGTAGTTTCCCGCACTTAGGGCGATAACACTGGTTTTGTTTTAGTTCTAATTGGCTTCCTGTGACATATACTTTTGTTCTGACCGCAGTTGTGATTAGTTTAGTCTGATGTTACGAATTTCAATTGATAGGCGTTCTACCCAGCATTCACGTCTGCTTTCCATATGATCGCTCGCATCCTACCGATCGCCCTGGTTTCCTATATGACTCGGAAGACCACGGAAAATGTATGAAACCAGCATGAGCAAAAAATAAGGTCTTTCCAGGGAATGGTGGTTGCACCAATCCTCCGTATCGTTAGTGGTCATTGGCCTGATTTCGACACGCAAACTTTCTGATTTCCTGAGCATAACTTGGAATAACCGGGGCGATCCAGACGAACATATGGCAACAAGGATTTACGATTACTGTACATGTAAGTGAAGTGACCCCTTCCTTTGTTTCAATCAAAAAAGGGTACTTGATCTATTCTAAGAAATGAAAACGGTAACACATGAAAATATTCGAAAAATTAAGCAAGTGGTTCAAATGAAGTCTTCCATAGAAAAGTTTTAACTCACTTTGATCAACTTAGTCTCAATTTCACCAGCAGAATCTTCCTCTTGGTGGGCTAAAACATAGTTTGTGGCCTACACAAATAAGGAACACATCCAAATACCTTATCATGTAACAATAAAAACTAGAGGTGCAAGAAGATTTCAGAGTACATAGCAATTTAACGTTGGATGGAAAAGCTCTTATCGGAGATAATCACGTCATACTTAAATTTCGGAAAAAAGGCATCCAGAAAACTAATTAGAAAAGGCTTTCCAGAGGAAATTGAGACAAAAAAGACAAATTGCTTGGTGTACATGAACTGAAAACTTTCTAAAGAGGCGGTTGTATGCCTTGTGAATGAAGAGACACTAAGGATACCGTACTTACATTAGTGTCTTTGAAGTCCTTCTCACCAGGCCTGGCAACGGTTTTCTTGTTCTTTATCGACGGTTTCATTACTGTGCCTGCCACGTGAAAGAAATTTTGTTAACAGACAAGGGTTGTAGTCTAAAACAGAGACGTGCTGTTTGTTAACATTGTAACTGGCGACATTAAATATATTTTTGGTGAGACCAAACAGAGAACCAGGATGTTGTATTATGTTACCCGTTTAGTATTGCACATCCTGGTGTTCCATACCATAACTATACATTTTCGCATTCACGCATACTACTAGTACCTGTTTCTAGGTGAGTCAAGGGTTTGTGCTCTATCCAACAATCCGAAGACTTGGATCGTCTGTGACGAGATTTGATCGGAGGCTGAAACACGAAGAAGAGAAATTTTTATCAATGATGACACAAACCGCGCAAATCTGGATGTATTTTTCGTAACTAATATCGAGTTACCTTTCTGGAAACAGGCGGTGGAGACTTCGATCTAGGCATGGAGGCGGCTTTAAGTTGAGCACGAGTAACAGGACCCGAGTCATTCGTCTTCATATTCTGAAGAGGAAAAAAAATGAGATTTATACTTAATCCTCTCCATGTAAATTTTAATCCTAAGTGAATTTCTCTTTTTTCAAACAACAAAGTAACAGATGAAATAATAATAATAATAATAATAATAATTGCCAAGGACCGATATAGCTGATAGTGACGAGATAAAGAACACGGTGAAGCACAGACAGGTTGTACAAAGCAACGTACCTGCACAATCTCCTTGAGTTGTCTTAGTTTTTCCTCTTTCTGCCACATTTTGGCCTGCATCTCCATTTCCTTGTCCTTGACGCGTTTCGACTAAAAAAAGAGCCAGAAATCACACAAACGTAGGAACGACTGAAAAATTTCCTTAAAATTACTCAAACGAGAACGAAAATTTATTTCTTTTCTTAAGGCACAAGTGAAGTTCGATCGACTATCACTTTCCCTTAATCCCATAATTCTAAAACTAACAAAAATAAACATGAATTGAATAGTATTTAAAAGCACCAAGAAATTTGACTTACACACTCCCGTTCCCATTTTCCCTTTTCTTGTGACACAACTCCTTTCAAGGCCTAAGCAAAACCAAAGGAAAAAAAAGACAAAAAAATATATATACATATTTATCGCTATATGTTATTCATAAACGTATATAACGATGGCATTTTTATCGCCAAAATTCGATAACTCTTTCATAAGGTTTACAACAAAGTAGAGCAAAGTGCATGGCTGGTAGGAAGCAATTATGTTGCCTGTCTCCTCAGCATGTTGAGAAACTGCAATTACTGTCTGAATGGGCCACCCTGTGCGCTGACCTACGGATACAACCGATCACTGGCCAAAAGTAACTCTTTCATAGTATGTCCCATCCATCAATCGGTGAGTCTTGCAAACGAACAACTCAAAGTTCAATTTTATTATTCCAATCTTTCAAGTTGAAAGCATCAGATGTAACTTGTCAACTGACAATTCTTACCTGGCGCATTTTAAGTTTGTCGGTCTTCTCTTTGTCTGCTCTTTTCTTCTGATCATCCAGCTAAGAAAGATGTTCACGTTATCGTCAATACACACCAACAAAACTGTCGTTAGATGTTCACTGACGAACTTATGTCTACGTCTCCGGTATGCGCAGTCCTTTGCCGTAGTTTTCCCTGTCTTATTTATGCTAATTACCGAAGCAAATCTCGCAAAGCTGAAAATGTTTTCTATACTTTCATCTGTTTAAGATGAACAAAACTACTGCGACAGATTTCCTCTAAGGATTTCTTAAACCTCAACTTCAAGAAAGTGTGGCTTCCAAAGAGGATTCAGGATCTGATATAGATATTATGGAGTACCTTCCGTTTTTCCAGGTTTGACTCAACCGGAAGAACTGATACTGGCCGGTGCAAATGGAGCACAAAAACTCCACCCTACGCAGCCAAGCGGGTTCGAGTTGCGCTTCCTCAAAAAGTATTGGGAAATACTTTGCACTTATGTTTCCAATGATGAGCGAGGGTTTCAGTCAGGCGAAACACAAACACGAAAGCCTGATCGAAGGCTTAACAGACGGCGATTGTGGACCACCGGTAAACAGCTTTTCTGGAAACCTCTGAATTGGCACTAAAATTCTCTCATATTATGCGGATAATTCCGGTACCGAGAAGTCTTAAAACTGATTGGCTCAAAAGACAGAAAAAAGACCAGAACCAGCTCCGTCAGTCCTCAGTGTTTACTTCTTTTCCACTGACTGATAGGAAAATGGAAAGGGCAAGTTTTGACGTTCGTCATGTGGTTCTCGCAATAAAATATAAAATTACGTACCTCATATCGTAGTTCTTTCTTGTCTTGTTCGTACATCTCTGCCGTCTTCTGAAGCATCTCGTTCTTAAAGAGAGAATTATTCAGAAAGATCGTCATTTCCTTGCTTCCTCTAATGACACACCGATCGTTACCGGTCACATGATCAAAACACCAATAATAAAATAATAATAATAATAATAATAATAATAATAGAAGAAAAAGAAGAAGAACAACAACAACAAAAGTTATTGTACCTTTTGTGTTAGCGCCTTCAGCCTTCTTTCAAGTTTCTGAATATCTCTGGAAAGAGGGTCACCGCGTTATTTTCTCAACATTTATTTATATTTTAAAGTTCACTTTACAGGTGAAGGACATGGAAAATACTTCTATAAAGGAAATGATATAGTTTGAAATGAAGATTAGCAAATCATACCTGTCTTTCTCCTCAATTGTTGCTTTAAGGCTTGCTACAATCTAACAAATACCAGAAAAATATTGCAATTAACGATATTTGATACTCAAGACAAAACAAGACATTTGAAACAATGAAAATGACTCTGACAGCACCTGGCTGTTCTAACTTACTCCATTTGCTTGACTGTTTTCTTTTTCCAATGCCAATAGATGAGCCCTGAAAACTCCCTCTGTGACATAAAATTAAGGTAACGGTAAGGTCCTAGAACATTATTGTACAATCAATTCCTCATATCTTGAATTTTCTTTTTAATTTATGGTGAAGTTTTCCTCACGGATTTAAGTGGGAAATACCGAAAAAAAAAATCTAGCCATACCTGACTTAACTTGGACAACGAACTCGGAAATTGTTCACTAAAATTGAAACACGGGCTCAAGAGGTATGAAAAGACTCAAAAGCCAAAACTGGTAGATTGTTAATTTAAATAGAAATACTAGTATCTCAATTTCCAGTGTTTGAGTCAACATTTGCATCACATGCAACAAATTCTATAGACAATACCTTTTCTTGACAAATCATCAATAAGGGTTTGTCGCCGTCTTTGTCTATCTTGAAGGTAGTGCATCAAATTTACCAGTGTTGTGCTATCTTCTGGAGAATTCAACTGATAAAAAAAAACACAACAACAACAAGAACTAAAGAAATCAAATGGAAAATCACATCTTCATCATTGTACATGGAGCCTCATCATAAATTCACTTCACTACTTACAATACCTGCATTTGAAAACAGTCCAAAACATTCAACTTACCTCAAATAGAGGGAAAGGCGGTCCCATGGTATGAACTGGCTTGGCTACAATCACAGTTTCACCGTCACCTGTAAATTTAATATACCAGTCCACAGATGACTTTGCATGATTCTTCGATGAAAAGGTGGATAAATATACGGATAAGTTGAAGTCAGCTTTGTCTCCTATCAAGAATTACTTCCTTTATTTCTGCTTCAATAGAAAAAATGTTTTAAAATTAGACAAAGTATTTAGGTGTACATACCATTACTTTCTTCAACCTTTGCTAGAACTTCCTTGTACATTTGATTTGCTAAAAGATTAGAAGAGGAAAAATCAGCAGGGAAACACCCCTGATACAAATCAATAAATATTTTTTAAAAAGTATTGAAAGGCAAATGAGAAGGAAGGAAGGATCAATGATACATGTACATGTACATAGATTGTGTAAAATTGTCAACTGAAACATACCTCTTCTTCTTCCTGGAGTTAGTCCAGTGTCAAATCTAAACAAGCAAGAAATAGAACAGTACAATGGAAGTTCTTGTAATTGTTGTGAACACAGATAAACAAATAATTTAGCCTGTGGATATAACATTCAAGGTTCAGTTGAATGCTGAGCCACTCTGTCTCTTGCTAAACCAAACTAAAGAATAAGGTAAAGATTAAAAAAGAGTGGAGTTTGAATTAGTTTGGCCTACTCGATACCTTTTGCAAGTCAAAGTGAAAGTTCAAAATGAGATCTTTGAGCAATCACTCTAATTGTTTTAGTTTTAATCTATAGGTACACTTGCTATTTGAGACATTTCTTGCTTCAATAGACAAATTTTAATTTAAAACAGGTTCGTCATTTGAGAAGCACAGTATTTGAACTACAGCAATTTTACCTGACTGACTCTGGTCTGGCTATAACAACATCTTGTGTAACTTCTGCAAATTTCATGACATGCTGAAGTGATACAAAAGACACTCCATTAAAAGAGATAAGTAAATTTAATCTGTTCCGAAGTCCAAAACATAAAACTGTGACTGTACAAGCTGTACAAAAATTGTTTTGGGCCTCTTACCACACTCTCATCATAATCATCAGCATTGGGGTTTAAACAGACCACCATGCGCACCTGGAGAGAAGCAAACATCATCAATCCAAAAAGATAGTAAATTGGAGATTAATATTCACAAAGATATAATTATAAAACAAGGTCTTCAAGATTGGTTTAACAGGATAAATATGTGAAGGATATTTTGTTTTTGTCAAACTCCTCCATTAACAAATTGTGTGCTTCTAGAATAGTTATTTCTGGCAGAAGATCACATCATATTTACTGCCAGAAAAATTAAGGTGGAAACTGCTGAATAGCAAAGGAATCTTGACATAGTAATTTCCATGATGGTGAGATCTGCAGATACCAATTTGTTTAGTTTTTAATTGTTAGATTTACCTATTTTATTTCAGTTGTTTTAAAGCCCATTAGATTATATCCATTTGTATATTGCACTAAATAAGTATTAAATTATTAAAGGAATGTTGGTTTCTCCTTATGACAAACTTTCCCTTGAGAAGCAATAGGTATGGCTTTTTTCTTACCTTTCCTTCTCCGTCAAAGAAATTCTTAAACAGATGAGTCAACTTTGTGTCTCTATAGGGGACAATCTGAAGAAATCAAAAAATTTTAACAAATAATCAGTGCACACAGCACCAAGGAGTGTGTACCCTCTAAAGTGTATATATAACTCATTTACCAGTATTGTAAATATTATGAAAGCAAACTACCTTTGGAGAAACACCATTCTCAGCATTTGCTTGGTTCTCTCTTAGAACCTCCATACAAGTTCTTAATGTCATCAAGGATGCATTGATGTTACCTAATGAGAGCGAGAGATTCATCCTTAGATAAATTCACACGATTATGATTGTTCACCTTCATCTTGCAAAACTTAAAAAGGAATGGTATGGTAGCAACATGACAAGATTAAGAGAGGTTTTTATGTTTCCTTTTGCCCTGCTGTTACCTTTTGCTGGGGTAACAAATGTGATTTGTGGAAAGTTCTTCACCCTTTTGACATACTTGACAAAGAACTGATTCATTATATACGAAAAGGTGAAATCAAGTGGGAGACAATATAATATACAAAAATGTGTGTTAGTTATTTCACATAGACTTTAAGTGTGGCAACTCTAGGGACTTTGCCAGTACCTTGACCAGATTTTAATATTATGAGCTAGCAACCCTGGTACAAACATAGAAAAAAAACTAAAGCATTCCTGAGAATTCCCTGAAAAACTCTATAAAAACTCAAACTGAGAGGTTGTGGCAAACAGGAAAATATTTGGCTCAAGTTGATGAAATACTCAGGGTTGTCATAAAGATTTGGGTTAATGGACTGCAATAAAAAGTACATGAAGGCAGCACAATGTCATGCTTCCATGTTAAAAATTGAACCACAAGCATTTGGAATAGCCAGCATGTTTTTCAAAGTAGATGGTGAAATTTGCCGGTTGCCTACTTATTTTGACAACTCTCAATACTTGATCCTCACAATGTATCCCATATCTTGAGCCAGCTGTGAAAAAGTTTACAACCCTGTATCAAAGTGGAATTTACCTGCTTCTCGCAGTCTGTCTCCACCAGCTCTGGTCCTATTTGTCCTCTCAGACCCTGCTAGATCACACAGTGATAATGTGGCTACAGCAATCTGATTTTTGTCCTGCTCAGGAGATATGTTTAAAACATGGTCAACCATTTGAATGCTTAAGAATGTTCGTCACTGTTTTTCTGTAGGAATCTAGGTGAAGTGAATTTAAAAATCAACTAAACCAATATTTTACCTGCAAGACCTCTTCACCATCAGGATCTAATGGTGCTTGTACAAGTTTGATGGCAAACACACTGTGGCTCCTACTGGACTCACGATTCAGTACTGTGTTGGCGACACGCCTTTTCTTTTGGCCTAGGAGGTTCCATAGAAAGTAAATTTTTAATAATTTTACATGCAAGACAGATGTAGATATGCACTTGTATACAAGTTTACAGTCAAAAATGGAAGCTTACTACCTCTGAAATACAGAATTGTTTTAATTGAAATTAATAGAAAATCTTTCCCTGAGATGTCTCTAAAAGTACTGGTTACTCACCTTTCCAGAATATGCTGTAAGCCTCTTCTGTGCTTTTGACTTCAATTTCTGTGACACCACTGACATACATGTTACGATTCATGTCTTCTCTAAGATTTTTTGAAACTGGTGGTCTGTAAAATCAAAGGGCACAATTAATCAATACTTAAATGCACTTGGAGAAGTACCGTCTTGAACTTAGTTATGATATATAGGTTACTACCTAACACAGTAATACTGTGTGTAAATTGTTTGTGCAAGCAGGATAACAAATCTTTCAGACACTAGAAATGAAAGGCAACCACAACAAAACAATGGTTGTATATGCACAAGATGACAATGCATAAATCCTAGTTGTTTCAATACCAGTGTGTGAGGTCAACTTACTTTGGACAAATGGGATCCACAGGAGTCTCATCAAGCAGATCATAAATGTAGTTGTTGTATATTTCAAAGTATGACACAAACACTGCATAGCTGTTATCCTCATCCACCTGCAAATAAAGTTGTGATATATAATCTTTGAAGCAGGTTGTAAATGTCTGTATAGTCTATACCACTTGGATTGCACTTCTTTAAACTTAAGATGTAACATTGACTGACATAGTGCTAACCCTCGAAACATCAGCTATAAAATTCCTTTTGGTGGCCAATTTATGTTATCAACTCAGTTGATTATACTTAATTACCCTATTATACTCTCTTATTGATGCAGTGCCACAGTTTCTTTAGAAACTTGCCCCCTTTATTCATGGACCAGGTTGCTTGCTTACAAGAACTATACATGTATATAAACTGAATGTTACTATAACTGCTACTTTAAACCTGAATTAGCTCAATTGGTGCTATCAGCAAATTGACCCATGAGTAAAATTCCACGACAAGAGATAAGTATCAACCATGATAGTAACTGGCACTATTGCACTTATTGCAATCCTTGTTCACATGCACTTTCAGAGGAAAGTAAGACAAAAAATAATTGTCATCATTGTGCTGTGTTAAAACAGAAATAAATAAATCTCACTCACTCCAGAAATAACTCCTGTCTCAGCTACTCTTATGAGATCAGCAAAGTCATTATCAGCATTCCTGGATAAACATCATTAAAAATCACAGAAAAAAAGAAAATTAATGTACATGTACAAGAAGGGAGTACCAACAAGTAAAGTAAAATTATGTCAGCTGCTGACTTGTATTATCTTAAAGCTGCTGTATCTTTTTAATATCAGGAGTTCTGATTGATACTGCTTTCTACTAAGAAAGAAATTTATCAAAGGTTTGCTATTCCATGGGTAGATTTTTAGGTCTTCCTTCCAGTTTTAGAATAAGTTGTATATAAACTGAACTAGATAGAAACAAAAAGAGTCTGTGTGGCTTAAACAAACAGATCATTAATTGTGGCCCTATTCCCAACAAGGGTTGAACCCTTTATCTTCTGATGTCTGCCTACTTTTTCTACCCCACCACTGTACTATACCAGACTCAGTCACTCTGGTTAAAATAGTCAAAGTTTAATCCAAATGGGCTCTCATCATAAGGTTTGTGCATGCAATTGAGAAGTTATCAGTATCAGACCAAACTGATATGTACTTAATATATCAATTATTCCAAAAGAATGCTGTTCCCTTTACCTGTTTCTACCTCCTTGAGCTGCCTGGAGAGCAGCTTCTTTTACACGTTTTTCTTTCTCAAGTTTTGCTTCAAGTTCTGTTTGTATTTCAATGCCATTGGATTTGTCTGGTTTAAAGACCTAAAAGGAGAAGAATACCCAGAGAAAGTTATATTTTGGTGACTGTTATTGAAAAGTTATCTCTACCTGATGAAAATGCAGTAGAAGAGAAAATATCCAGTGTCACTTGAAAAATAATTTAGCCACTATCATCATAATTATAGCCAAATGTACATGTAGTAGATAAAAAGCAAAAGAGTTCTTGGTTACATGATTATATTTTTAACATGGTCATAGACCATACTATTCACAGTTAAAAAAATCAGCTAAAATATTTTTAAATCATATAAATGCAGTAACATCTTCTGATTGATTTTAAATTGTACACAATTAAAGCAAAAGGATATGCTGCTCTACTGGTAAACTTACAGCAAATGGAAATAAAACACGCTAAATTACAGTGTTATTCTAGACAATAAAACAAGTACAGGTAAACAAGAATACCATTTCTTCATCAATTAGGCAACTTACAATAAATATATCCTATCTTGCCATGGAAAACCATTTATAACTTACATATTTAGGAGCCTGCAATTCTCCAATAGAGTTAAAGATGACATCTAAACACCTTGGAAGCAAGCCACTGTCACTGGGCATTCCTGTCATGGTGTGTGTCTTACCAGACCCAGTGATACCATAAGCAAATATCAAACCTGTGATTAGAAGGAAGCACAAAGACAGTGCCATCAGGAACTGGTAACCCCAAGAGTTTCAACAAGTCTCTTAACCAAGTCAACTGAGTAATTAAAAATTATTCAAACTTCCTCTCTTTCTTTGTTTCAAGCCTCTTGAAACTTGACTTGAACATCTCAAAATGTGATTCAATCCTCAAAGTTTTTGAAAAACTGAGGATCGAAAAAAGTGAGGATCAAGTCTTGCGGGACTTACTTTTGAGGGGTACTGTAAGCCATGTGTTAAGCTTCCAAAAGGTGTTTGAATATCACCATAATCACTCACAGTGAGGTATATAAACATGTCTCTATTTGGACACAGAGAAACATGCAACAACTCGAACAGAGGGGTATTACATATTACACATTTCCTTTGAGATTTTGGTCATTTTCTGCAATCACTTAAGACTGACTCAATTTTGGCATACAGCCTCAACTTGGATGATGAAACATTGTTCTGAATTTTCCCACCAGCTAAATCTATGATTCCCATTCATGTATTTCAGAGTTTTTAAAAATGCTAAATAAAACTCTAGCTGGTTGATTTTGTTGTCCAGAATATACAGAGGTTTCTCAATCTAAGAAAATTAGTAGCAGTAAAAGTCAACTTGTTTACCTTTGAATGCACACAAAGTGTAAATCTAATACTTACCATTTTTACCATGAATCAAATCATCAACCAAGGGCATGGCCACATTATCATAAAGCACCTTCTGGGATGTCTTCTCATCATAAATCTTTTTGAATGTATGTTGTGTCTGGGTTTAGAATGATAATAAACACTTTCATATGAACTCTGTTAAGAGATTGTGAGACATCTTAGCTAAGTTACTTATACAGTGTATTGATCGGTTGAACTGTTCAGGTGTGACAAAGTGGTTTTGATCCATTGCATTTCCACTTTTAATATCTACATGCATTTTTCACACATGATGCTATTAAATTGAGATTTTCCTACTTACCTCTATTCGGTGGCCAGACTTGTATCCTGCAGAATTCTGGAAGAGAATTTCATCAGAATATTATCTAGATGTAACCCAGTGGTAACAATATGGTCAATCCAACATCTGAAAGGAAGCTGTGCAACCAATCAGTTATTTTTTCCCATATGAGCTTCACAAAGAAACAGGAAAATCTGTGCACATCAGTACTCAAAAGGGGACCTTTAGTGAGGAGAGACACTTATTCTAAGATTTAAAGCATTTTAAAATTCACGTATGTTTTAATCACTCCGTTGAAATGTTTACCCCAACTTCATACCAAAACAGGAAAATTGTTGAGTAAAAGCAGAATACCAAACCTTCTAAAAAGCACAGATGCACAAAATACCGTTTTTTCCCCTTTTCTTATTTTTTGAACGTCTCGCATAGCTAGTCTACATGTCTAATGCTGTAAAAACTTCAGGCTTTGGATCAAGATGCTCTATTCATACAAGCTGTTCATGGTACACACGTCATTGTGCTTACCTTTGGCGCTGTTAGCTGTAACACAGTATCGCTGATAATGTGAACGCAAGATTCTTCTTCATTATTGCCGAGAGGTCTGACTCGGCAATACACCTAGAAATAACGAAGGATTTGGATAACATTCACCTTGCATCTGCGTCTTATATTACCCTGTAAGATTGTAGTACCATCGCAGAAGAGGCTTGCGGACTTACATATTTACTTTTCGAATTCAGCAGGTCATGGAGGCATTGTTGCTTTAGCTAGCTATCACACTTACTTCCGATTGTGTTTCTTTGACACAATTCTGGAACATGTACCCTGTTTTGTTTCGTGAATATCTTAAACGGATCACAATTTACGCCACAATTCTCGTTTTCAGTGCCGCACTGGCAATTTGAACAAGGGATACATGTAAACCCAACAACTATTTTGCCGGCGCATCGTGCGTCAGACGTACTATACCTTCAGTGGATTCACAAAGATCCTTCATGCTGTCGCTTAAACGAACAAATTACCGGAACGTATACGACCTTTAGATGAAAAGTCTCCTTTCCTTACCTCGACAGGATCCTTGTTGCCTGTAGGTCGTCTTGGTGTCTTCGCACTGCGCGGGGTCTTCGTCGAAGAAGGAGTTTTCGGGCTAAACAGAAACACGAGGCAGTTTAACATCAAAACAACAAATCAAATTACTTTAAATATGTTTTATACTTACATTGGTCGCATTATTATCTAAAACAGATGATTTCCACCATAGAAATTGGCACAGAGTTTCCAAATAACAAGTCGAAAATCAAAATGTCGGTCCAATAATTCTTGAATCAAACCGCCCTGGCGGTGTTGGTTTAAACCGACCAATCAGAGACGTGTATGAAATTATATTTCTTGAGGAGCGCATACTCCATGTAACGACCGCTGTCAAGATTTCATGTTTTGCAGGCTCAGCTATGATTTCTTGGGGACTGCTTTGCGGTCCATACTTAGCTTTTTTGAATCATTTTGATTTATTCCAATTGCTCGCATTAGATCTTTGGTACCCTTTTAAGATAGAATGATCTTCATATCAAAAGCAAGATTCAGATGGTCACGGTGTGTTCAACTGGCACCCGTTAGAAGGTAATGGAGAAACGTTATTTGTTCTGTCTCAATACTATCACCAGCGCTAGTCATTGAAAAGATCTTTCTTCCCCCTCGAAGAAATAGAACCAAAGACCTCCAGCCGCGCCATGAAATGAGGACTCACTGGTGAGATAGGTCATTGCAAAGTTCAAGACCTCGCTGGAGTTGTAGGGGGTGAGGTGGGGGGTGGGGGGCTGAGTAGATTTGTGGCACGTGTTAAAAGCTGGAACGCTAAAACATGCCGGACTCGATGCTGGAACATCCCTAAACATGCTGGAACACCGAACATGTTCCGGAGTACCAGCATGTTCGGTGTTTCGGATTTTAGCTGATGCCAAGAGTTGTGATGTTCAGACCTCTAACCTCGACATTAATTTGTTTTGGACAAAAGCACACAAATATGGAGTTTGTTAAATCGATCTTGTGGAGCCACTCCTAGCACCAAGTCAGATTGGCACAGGTACATGGGAATATATCCTCTCATATACAAGTAGTATGCTCTGCAGACAAGGTACACAGAATGAGATTTAACTAAACTGCGTGGACGCTCTTGGACTACGCATTGTCTGCAGCTTTTCCAAGGCTTCTGGTTGACGCCCTGTTCATTTGAAAACTTGAAACTGCCTACCAGGGATTCAGAAGCCAGGAAACCATTGGCTGGTTAGCAGGACGGCAAAAGTGTGCACCCTTTCCGCAACCCAATGACGCCTACGGACATCGAGAGCGCCATCATTTTAGCCAGGGTAACGTGGTCGTGAAAAACTACCAAAGCACTTTGCCTTTATCAAAGCTTTTTATGTAATAACTCAGATGCGCTGAACACCCCATCGCCGGTCATCACTTCTCATTTTCAACCTCTGATCTGTGCCAAACGCAAGAACTCTCCCATCGCTTTTAGTTGAGGAATAAAAGAGAGCCATGGACGAAAAGGTTAATCCTTAATTTAAAAAAGTTCCAATTTGGGAATGACCTCAGATCGTTGATTTTGACTCGTTGAAGTATAGTAAATATCAAGGACCGGAGATTACTATATTAGCTCCTTGACCAACCCACTCTAAGCTTGTTAACAGTAAAATTCATTGATAGATATAACTGTCAGAGCAAGATACAACGTGGCTAAGCTTTCAGAAAAGTGACCAGAACTCTTGATTTCAGGGGACACACTGGCAGACGGTTTCAGTAAGGTATCATCTGGTACTTTGACACGTGACCTCGCCGTCACGTTTTTGTTTTGTTTTACCATGATTTTTGTTTTATTTGTCTTGTTTGTATTTTTTCCGCGTGGTGCTCTGGTACGCACAAACGACTAACCGAAAAACATATCAACAACAAAAAACTGCAGCCACTTTCACTAGATTTAGTAAATGACTGTTGTCTTAGGTAAAAATCGATTTTTGCCATGGCCTGATATTTTTTCCAAACCAAGCCATGACTGGCCATACCAATAAAACAAAACAAAGCAAGTGTGAGAGAAGTTGATCGTTTCATTATTATCACGAACTCGAAACTGATTGAATTAATTGAATAGTATGCTAGCTTCCACCCGACATCAACTTGTATTCGCACTACTAAATGAAAACTAAGACCTTTACTGAAACTATTCATTGTGGATCCTAGCACGATGCCCTGTAGACTGAATCAAAATTTTAATTAGCTGTTGTCAAGTGAAGAATCGTGTGGTTGCTTCAAAAACTAAATTGAAAATATAATTTCGTTTGTAGACACACTAATCTCCTTGAACAAAGACCGCCATCTATTCTCGTTTCAGAAAGGATTAGACTGTGCTCCTTTTAGGCTTCTTCTTACACGAACCATAGCTTAGAACTTAATTTAATTTTAAACTGAGGTGTAAAATCGCCACTCGAAGCCGAATTGAAGATCGCTACATCAGCCGGATCAAAGGTAAAGAAAGAATTGTAGCAGGGAGTTTCAAGCTGAGTGGTCAGGTTTGGTTTTTTTTTCATCATTTAGACAATATGATATAGATATCATGTAGACATTGCAAGGGTTGACAAAGAACAATAAGAGTACCGTATACTCGAGCCTGAGTTGTAAACACGGTTCGTCTTTTGAGAAGTTGCAAACAAAGCTGTTTCGTTGGTTCCTTTTTTGACACAGGAATCTAGCAGAACCTGAAGTTCCTTTCTTTTCAGCGGAAATATCCATCCATGAGGCACAAAGGGACCTTTCTCACGCGTTGGTGGTAAGCTGTTAGGATTTATTGATTTTAAAGAACCGTCCGGTAATAGTTCACCTAAAGGTGGAATAAAAGTGTTTTTTTCCACGGAGATCGATTTTACATTTTATTAAATCAGTATTAAATAGATATATAGAGTAGTACGAGCTCTCACGTCTCCCTTGTTTGTGTAACAAAAGATCCTTCGGGTCTGCGCCTAGCAACGCAAACCACGTCGTTCGGGTGGATCTCTCTCGATTAGTCTGCCTTCATTTATGTCCTTCTTAAGCGCCCTTAAGTAAGTTTGCGTGTCGATCGGTGCTTATGTAAACATGAGACCACGATTTTCATAGTATCTCTCACGAATGATGATTACAGTAATGGCAATATCTACCGGCATCGATCTGATGTCCTGAGTGAAAGCAAGATGTCTGCATATTGCTAGAAGTGGAGTTAGTCGATAAAAACGACTTCGACCTCGACTTTGGAGACAGAATTCCAGTACCTTGTGCAACTGAAATAACATTAGTACAGCCGACGCCCTAATTTTCTAATGGTTATAAAATATTAAACGTTTGCTTTTCCTTCAGGCGGAAGAATTCAGTAGAACCCGGTGACGCTTTTCAACAGAGACAGTAAGTGTCACTTTCAAAGCTCAACACGAAACATTGTATATCATTCAGCAATCTTTCGTCTGGAAAAGAGCCCTTGTTCTTTTTTAGTTTACTGATACTTCCCGAGTCTGGGATCATCAAACAAATAATTGTGACTTGTAGGAGTTAGGATGCATCATAGAACAGCAGCTCATTCATCTTAGCCCGCAGACCCGGCTAATTTTTTGCGTTTCACAGGCGAACGGAGCGTGGCAAGCGCTAGTTACGCGCGAGGGAAAGGGCGCGACTAATAACAATAGCGTGAGTACAGGCATTATTTTTCTTTCTTTTTTTTTTGCGCTCGCCTCACGCTTGTCTCCGTTCGGCTGAAAAACGAAACAGAGTACACCTGTTCTTAAGGCTACCCTCATTCAGATAAAAAAGCCTTCTTCTTAATGCAAGGTCCCAACGTTCTCGAGCGAAGAGGAGGAAAGACCCTGGAAACAAGTTTAATTGCCGGATCGAGTTATGGTCGACCTGTGGCTGATAATTTTTCTGCTTCTACGCATGCAAGGAAAAAATTCGATCGACCAAAAAAGATTGATGCCGATTGCCAATTCGGTCAAGTTGAAATACCCTTACGAGATCTTACGACCTTGTTGTACTTTTCATTTAGACCTACTGGTTCTTGTGAAAGGCAAAAAGACGAGGAAAGTTCTTTTGTCACCAGTGCAAAACAAGTCGATTCGAGGAACAGAAATCTGACAGAAAAAGGTTTTAAAATTCTTACACTTTATACGTAATTGTGCGTAAATGTGCGTGCATTTAGCTTTTCCTTATCCAGCTAACATGGTTAATACGGCTGAGATTATATTTTGATGTTATATACGCCTGGTACATGATGTTTTTTAAGATAAGCTAGGTTCGATTAAAGTACATCGGCGGACTAAAACACTTTTTACAAACAGTATTGTCTACTTCAGTCTCAGTCATTGCAACCCTCTCGATCCAACATCGAAATGTTTAAAACACTTTTACTCTAAAGATAGAAGTTTTTCGTCTTGTCGCGTTCTACTAAAAAACGCAGAATTTTTTTAATTCTTTAACCCACGCTCGTGAGAAGACGAAAAATATCTTTCTCTATTTCTTTACCGAGCTCAAAACTTACCATCTCGCTCATTCTATTTTTCATTCTGTAACCAATTTATGGCTGAATGCGTTGAGAATAATTTCGTCGAAGCTATGCGATGCCCTTAAAAAATATTAGCAACAAAAAAGTATAACAGTAAAGACCAATTGATAATTCCGACAGAGTAAACCGGACTCAGGACTTAGCTGAAACTGAAGTAAATGTAGAACTGAGTCTTCACCTTTTTTCTTCTTCCAGAAAACGAGTTGCAGGCCGAGATGATTAACTTTCACATAACAGAAAACCAAGCAGCTCACAAAACAGAAAATTACCCGGTGATTGAGGAGTTAGTACTAAGGAGAGGGGAGGTGTTTGATGTAACAGTCAAGTTTAACAGAGACTACAATCCGGACTCTGACGTTATCACGCTCCTCTTTGTCTCTGGTAAATGGGCAACAATGCAATGATTTATTACGTCGATTCTGTGTTTGATACACACTACAAGCTAGTATAAGCACAAGCAAACACTGACGATATTCTCATCGATGCCTCTCCGGCCTCAAGCACTTTTTCCGATATGGATTGTGAGGCAAGAATTGGAACAGAACAAAATTCTCTATTTCGTTGCGGATCCCATTTTGTTTTTGACGTCCAGCTTACGAAGCTGTGCTGTTTGGCCATATTTTCTGGCTATCAAAGAGTTAGGATTAGAGCGTTGAAACAATTCTCATCAGAAGGATATAACCTAGAATAGGTTACACGTTTCTGCCCGCTTTCTTCCTATGGGAGACAAGAACAAAA